GCATTGTGTGATGCTGGTGGGACAGGCTGCCGGGAATGCCTGTAACTCCTAACGAGCCCTGGAAATCCTCAAGTGCCAGACGAACAGAGTTTTTCTTTCCTTTTGGTGAGAGACAGAGAGGGAGCCCCTGTCTGCCAGTTCACTCCCCAAATGCCAGCAGTGGGTGGGATGGGGCTGGGTTGCAGCCGGGCGCCAGGAACTCAGTCCAGGTCTCCCACGTGGGTGGCAGGGGCTGTAACCACTGGCTTCCAGGGTCTGCGCTGGTGGGCAGCTGGAGTCAGGGACCAGAGCTGAGAGTTGAGCTCCAGTGCTGCTCTGGGCGACGCAGGCCTCTGAGCCCTGGACTAAATGCCTGCCCCGACGGGAAGGCTCTGTTGTGTGGCTCGAGTTGCGGGGACAGCTTTTCTCTCAAACACTTCAAGAAAAACTTGCTGCAGCCTCCTCAGCGGGTGGGAACCAGTGTGGAATGCATTTTCTGGCTGAGCAGTGCTGTCTTTTGTGAAAACCGGGGTGCTGTGGACTGCTTCCCGTGACCTGGCGCCCAGTACCAGCTGACCCCCCTGTGGGCCCAGCCACAGCGGGGCGTGGTGAATAGCGCGTGCTTCCTCTGCCACGGCCCCTCCCACCAGTGAGGGAGCGCTTATCTCTGCTGCCCATGCGCTGCTGGAAGCCCCAGATGTCCATCATCTACGCCCTCCCTGTCCCCCAGCTCCAGGCCTGAGCTGAGCTGTTTGTGTGCTTGTTTTGTTGTTTTTGGTTTTGGTGGTGAATTAGTTTGTTTTTCCCAATAACACCAGTCCTAAGAACACATTTGCATCATTGAAAAAGTCAGCTAAGACAGAACGAGCTGAAGTAGCCCTCTGCTCCCAGAGTCAGGAGTTTGGTTTTGGTGCACATCTTTCAGAACGGGGCAATATTCGGGGCCCACCTTGCCTGTGATCCGGGGGGCCAGCTGGATTGCGATGGAGCTTCTCAGTCCCGGTAGCCCCCAGGGGAGAGGGCCGTTCATGGCCAAGGCAGAGAGACAGTGGTCTGCACGCAGGGAGTCTCAGAGCCTTTTCCATTTTAACTTATTTGAAAGAGATTTTTTTTCTCATCCATGAGTTCACTCCCTGTCGCTCCTAGGCTTCCCATCCGAGTCACGGCACCATTATGTCGCTCCCCCTCTTCGCGGAGGAACGACACAGGACCCTGCGCTGTTCTTTTTGTCTGCTCGGCCCTCCCCGGGTTTGCTGCTGGTTCTTCCCGGGTTGGCTGCCGTCCCTCCACCTCCGTGGAGGGGCGGGCCCCCCTGCCACTTTCCCCACTTCCACGGGGGAGCGGCACACCGCCGGCCGGCTCTCTTGGGGGCTGCTCAGATGTTATCTGGATGTTCCCTTTAGATGTTCCTGGTGCATGTTGTCTCTCTCCTCCTTTATAGTCCTCTTCCACCAATCCCAACTCTGCTACCCAGACGCCGAGTACGCTGCTCTCCTCCAATCAGGAGCAGGATCAGCTCCTGCAGGTTACTGGTCGAACTGGAGGCAGCTGTGTAAAAGTTGTTTACTCCTCTCCCAGCGCCATATTGTGGGAGAGCAGATGCATAGAATAAGTCTTAATTCCAGTAACTTAGTCTAGTCCAAGTTCCTCCCCACAACTCCCCAAATAGCTGCAACAACCAGGGCTGGACCAAGCCAAAGTCAGGACCATGCAGGCCTCCCTCACGGGGTCCTGGGACCCGAGTACTTGAGCTGTGTCACCTGCTGCCTCCCAGGGTGCACATTAGCAAGAAGCTGGATCAGGAGCAGAGTGGGGGGCTTGAACCCAGGCACTCCTGTGTGAGATGTGGGTGTCCCCATGTCCCCAGCAGTGTTAACCACTGTGCCACCATACCGGACCCCTTGCCGCTAAAATGGTGGTGCTGCTTGACATTGGATTTTAATGGAGAATATGGGATGGAGGGCAGGGGAAGCGAAGACAACGATGATTAAATTTGAGAGCGGAGGAGCAGAGAAAGAACCCGGGAAATGAGCCATATTTCATTTCTCTTGTTGATGTGTTTCGTTTTTGTGGGTTTTTTTTGTTTTTTTTTTTAGACTGGACTATTCAGGGATTGCTCTGCTGATTATGGGGAGCTTCGTCCCCTGGCTCTATTACTCCTTCTACTGCTCCCCACAGCCCCGGCTCATCTACCTCTCCATCGTCTGTGTCCTGGGCATTTCTGCCATCATTGTGGCACAGTGGGACCGTTTCGCCACCCCTAAGCACCGGCAGACAAGAGCAGGTGGGTAGGCAGACCTGGGTAAGCTTCCAAGGTACTTGGATCTTGGGTCTGATGGGCTCAGTCTTGGGCCCTAAGGTTTGCAGTTTGGGGACCCCACCTACACCCTGATTATTAGAACTTTGAAATTAGATTCTTAAGGCTAAGTTTTTTCCGCAAGTCTTGCGCTATTTCGGTGGGCTGTTACTAGGACAGATCATGACCCTGCTGTCAGTTAGCTGCAGGTAGAAATGGCTGCTCGCCGGCGCTGTGACTCACTAGGCTAATCCTCCACCTTGCGGCGCCGGCACACCGGGTTCTAGTCCCGGTCGAGGTGCCGGATTCTGTCCCTGTTGCCCCTCTTCCAGGCCAGCTCTCTGCTGTGGCCCAGAGTGCAGTGGAGGATGGCCCAAGTGCTTGGGCCCTGCACCCCATGGGAGACCAGGAGAAGCACCTGGCTCCTGCCATCGGATCAGCGCAGTGCACCAGCCGCAGCGCGCCAGCCGCAGCGGCCATTGGAGGGTGAACCAATGGCAAAGGAAGACCTTTCTCTCTCTCTCTCTCTCTCTCTCTCACTGTCCACTCTGCCTGTCCAAAAAAAAAAAAAAAAAAAAAAAAAAATGGCTGCTCTTATACTTGGTTTAGAACAGTCAGGAACAGCTGGTACAGCCACAGGCCAGGGCCAGGTTTATCTCAGCTAGATTCTAATTTCACACTTTGATTACTTGTGGCTACACTACCAATACCACTGATCTTTAGCCCCTTTAGATTTCTTAAGTCTACAGTGTTTTAACCTTTATTTAAAATTTGTAAATTATATAATATTTAATATTAAATGTTAAGAAATTGAAGACTTATCAAGTGCCAGGCACTGTGCTGTAGACAAGGCTGTCGACAGGCTGGAAAAGGTAGTCCTGCTCTCTGGTCAGGTACAGTGTGGGCTCTCGCCTTGTGTGTTCGCTGCTAATCTGGGAAGTTAGGGTTCTTCCTCTTCTCTGGCTTGGGAAGCGCAGAGATGTTGCCGCCGGCTGGCGTGCTGTGCTTGCCCGGGCTCCTGAACAGGAGTGAACAGGAGGCATCTGTGCTTGTGAAAGGCCGTGGCACAGAAGCCGTACACGGCCACCTCCCGTCCTCGTGCGGAGGGAACAGCGGGCTGTCACGAGTGCTGGGATCGCAGAGTGAGACAGCGAGCCTCCCCCGGGTGGCCGTTCCCCAGCGTGCTGAGCTGATGTCTGCTGCTTTCAGGTGTGTTCCTGGGGCTTGGCTTGAGTGGCGTCGTGCCCACCATGCACTTTACCATCGCCGAGGGCTTTGTCAAGGCCACCACGGTGGGCCAGATGGGCTGGTTCTTCCTCATGGCTGTCATGTACATCACTGGAGCCGGCCTTTATGCTGCACGCATTCCTGAGCGCTTCTTTCCTGGAAAATTTGACATTTGGGTAAGGAGTGACTCCTGCAGCAGGGCCTGTCCTGGTGAGTGACCGGCCCAGGGTGAAAGGGCCGGGTGGAAGGCGCGGAGAGACTCGGTTGTGTTGGTGGGTACGTACGAGGGCACGTACGCTGGGGGAAAGCAGCCAGTGTTCACACAGCGCTGTATTTGTGACAAGGATTGTGTGCTGACATTTTTCTGCAATAAACACGAATCGCTTCCACCATGGGAAGAGAGATTTTCGAGGAGAATGTGGACGAGGCAGATGCTCTCCTCTCGTCTCGGGTCCTCCCTTACATCATCCTAAGGCCTCTCCTCTGCTTGTCCCCGCAGTTCCAGTCTCATCAGATCTTCCACGTCCTGGTGGTGGCAGCAGCCTTTGTCCACTTCTACGGGGTCTCCAACCTCCAGGAGTTCCGTTACGGCCTGGAAGGCGGCTGCACTGACGACTCCCTTCTCTGAGCCTTCCCACCCGAGCGGTGAGGAGGAACTTCCCAAGTGCTTTTAAAAATAACTTCTCTGCTGAAGTGAGAGGAAGAGTGTGAGTTGTCTGTTTCTAGAAGAAACCTCTTAGAGAATTCAGTATCAGCCGAGCTGCAGCCCACGGTCACCCCACGGGGCAGTACACTTGCATGTCCTTCCTGCCAGCCGGGCAGGGTGGCGACGGGCCCACCTGGCCGTCCCCTCCTCGGCACGGCAGCTGCTGGCCCCTCACAGAGACGGAACTTTGAAGCTCATGTTGAGATTTTACCCCTTCCTCTAACCATTTTGGGGAAAAAATTACGGACTGGGACTCTTCAGAAATTCTGTTTTTTTTCTGGAAGAAAACGTCCCTCCCTTACCCCGTCCTTACTTTGTAACCTGGCTTATGACAGGCCATCATTTTTGTAGCACACTTTTCACAAACAAGTATAACCTGGCCCCATCCTTCTAGGGCCCGGATCTGCTTACACAGCAGGAAGCATAAAGCCACCAACTGGTTCCGAGCCCGGCTAATCATGGAGGTGTGTCCAGGCTTCAGATAACTTGAGTTTTAATTTTTTTTCTTGGCAGAGTAATGTAAGATTAAAATGGGGAAAGATATTTAATATTTAATACTAAGCTTTAAGAAGAAACCTGCTATCATTGCTATGTATCTTGATGCAGAGTATGATGATAATAAAAGAACATACAGAAGACACTTGGCATTCAAAGATTCAACGTGCGTTGTCTCAACTGTTTGCACACAGCTCCAAGGGATTAAGACTAACAATTTCAGATCCTGCTGCGGTGAGAGTGAGCCGTAGGCATCACAGGCTGGTGGCATCTGTGGGCCGGTGTCTGAACCTAGCTGAGTTGTTAGCACCGGTTCCTCAACCAAGCTTTATTTTTCTCTGCTTGCTTCACAAATTATCTTACCAGAGAAATTGGTGTGCTGTAATAGTGTTTAATAATGAAGATTCTCAAAGGTGCTGGTAGATATGCCAGAGTTCAGTTACACTGAAACCACCTTGCCTGGGATTGTCTGATCAAGGGGTTATTCCGGGCCTTTCTGTGCCTTTGTGATTTTTTTTTTTTTTTTTTTGGACAGGCAGAGTGAACAGTGAGAGAGAGAAACAGAGAAACAGAGAGAAAGGTCTTCCTTTGCTGTTGGTTTACCCTCCAATGGCCGCTACGGCTGGCGCGCTGCGGCCAGCACACCACACTGGCGCCAGGTGCTTCTCCTGGTCTCCCACGTGGGTGCAGGGCCCAAGCACCTGGGCCATCCTCCACTGCCCTCCAGGGCCTCTTCCTGGCCTAGAAGAAGGGCAACCGGGACAGAATCCGGCACCCTGACTGGGACTAGAACCCGGGGTGCCGGCACCGCAGGCGGAAGATTAACCTATTGAGCCGTAGCGCCAGCCGCCTTTGTGAATTGCAGTCAACCTGACCTGAGTTCTATTCACTGTGTAGACCGCATAAGCTGGCAGGACTCACTTCTCAGCTAGAGAGTCTTCTGGAGTTAGAAAGAGGAGTTCACTACCAGAGACAAGCCTGTACAGTTGGGACAACAACTGATCCTTTTTGGAAGTGATCCAGGCAGGCCAAGAAACAGGAACAATTTCTCAGCCTCAAGTGGTAGCAGGGAAATGTAAATCAAAGCCAAGGTGATAGATCATTTCACTCCACCAGACTGTCACAAATTAAAAACCCTAATAGTGAGCGCGTGTTGGCGTGACGTGGAACAGAGCAGATGCTGCGGGTGGGCATGCCCATGGGCAGGACCACTTGGTGTGGACACATGTGGAGCATACACACATGACAACACTGAAACAACATGAAACAACGCTTGACAACAGGCGATGCAGCTGGCACCCATCCGGGCTAGCTTACTTCATAACTAACTAAAGGGTCTTTACTTTGTAATGCCTAGTACAGAACAGGTCCTCAACAAGAATGCAGAGTGAGTAAACTAGAAGTACAGTAACAAGAAGGTAATAGTTACTTGCCACTTGTTGGCGGTTCCAATAAAAGCAAGGGAAGATAATGAAACCAGGAGCAAAAGGAATTTTTAAGTTCTGAGACTTGAGTCAGAATGACCTGGATTCATACACTGGCCTCAGTCCTATCGTCTTAGGGAAGACTGTGAGTTCCCTGCAGGCATCTGCGTTTGCAGCCATTAGTATAGACCTGCAAGGCATCACAAGGTTCTCTCTGATCCGGCTGCATCCACTGTCCGGAGGAGGAAGTCAGGAGACCCAGAGCAGCTGATGAAACCTCGAGCGCAGTACAGGCTGTTCCCGTCCAGGCTCAGAGTAAGGAAATGAGGACAGAACAACAAACTGGTTCAAGAGGGGCCATGGAGCAGTGTTGTGACAGCGGATCAGGCCGCCACTTGGGACGCTCAACTCGGAGTGCTAATTCAAGTTCTGACTTCTTCCCAGCCCCTGCTAGTGCATCCTGGGAAGCAGCACAGGATGGCCAAGTACTTGGGCCCCTGCCATCCACCTCGGAGACCCCGAGGGAGCTCCTGGTTCCTGGCTGCTGCAGGTATTTGAGGAGTGAACCCGTGGATGGCAGATCTTTTTCTTTCGTGGTCTGTCACTCTGCCTTTCAAGTACATTGTGGGGAGCAACCCGGACTAGACTAAGTTACTGGAATTAAGACTTATTCTATGCATCTGCTCTCCCACAATATGGCGCTGAGAAGGGAGAAACAGCTTCTACATAGCTGCCTCCAGTTCAACCAATAAACTGTAGGACCTGCTCCTGATTGGAGGAGAGCAGCGTACTCAGCGTGTGGGTAGCAGAGTTGGGATTGGTGGAAAAGGACTATAAAGGAGGAGAGAGACAACATGCACCAGGAACATCTATCTGAAGGAACACCTGTGCAGCCCCCGAGAGAGCCGGCCGGCGGTGTGCCACTCCCCTGCGGAAGTGGGGAAAGTGGCTAGGGGGAACCGCCCTTCCAAGGAGGTGGAAGGGTCGGTAACCAACCCGGGAAGAACCAGCAGCAAACCCGGGGAGGGCCGAGCAGACAAAAGAACAGCGCAGGGTCCTGTGTCGTTCCTCCACGAAGACGGGGAGCGACAGTACATGAAAACAAATAAGCATTGGGCCAGCTCCATGGCGGAGTAGGTTAATCCTCCACCTGTGGCGCCAGCATTCCATATGGGTGCCGGTTCAAGACCCGGCTGCTCCTCTTCCGATCCAGCTCTCTGCTGTGGCCTGGGAAAGCAGTAGAAGATGACCCAAGTCCTTGGGTCACTGCACCTGCATGGGAGACAGGGAAGAAGCTCCTAGCTCCTGGATCGGTGCAGCTCTGGCCGTTGGGGCCATCTGGTGAATAAACCAACAGAAGGAAGACCTTTGTCTCTGTCTCTCACTCTCACTGTCTGTAACTCTACCTCTCAAATAAATAAATAAATTTTTTTTAAAAAATTAAGTATTAAGAAAGAAGGGGCCAAGAATCTGATTCTGTCCCTTTTGTATCAGTAAATCAAAAATTAGGGGGTTGGCCCTGTTGTGAAGCATGAAAAGCCACTGCCTGCAGCACTAGCATCCCATATGGGTGCCAGTTCAAGTCCTGGCTGCTCCACTTCTGATCCAGCTCCCTGCTAATGCGCCTGAGAAAGCAGCAAAAGATGGCCCAAGTGTTTGGGTCGCTGCACCCAAAGAAGCTCCAGCTCTGGCCATTGCAGCCATTTGGGGAGTGAACCAGCGGATGGAAGACCTCTCTCTCTAACTCTGCCTTTCAAGTAAATAAATATTAAAAAAAAAAAAATAGGAAGGAGCCTTATCTCTATAGACTATCAATTTGCAATTAAAAGAAAACAGAACTTTTTTAAACTCAGGTGAGTAGACCCCAAGAAATTCCTGAATGCCCTTTTTATTTGTCCTGTCCTCAAAATGGGGTGAATGTTTTCCTGTAAATGAAGCAAGCCGGATGCAGGTGGATGCAAGAAGGAAGGGGAAGGCCCCAGGAGGGGGAAAACGTCCTAGGCTGCCTTGCAATCCGAGGAGGCCTCAGCAGAGCCCTTTTTGGGGGAACTCTGGTCCTCTGACCGTCCCATCTCCCCTTGGAAGTCTGCCCGTGAATCCCAGCCGCCGCCAGCGAAGCAGGAATCAGCCTCGGAGAAGCCAGGGTGCAAAGCTGGGGAGTGAGACTCAGCAGTGGCCTGGGCTCTGCTCGGGTTGCTCCTGGGGCTCGGGTCCCTGACAGGTGCATTCTTACACTGCCACAGCCTGGCAGTGCAGAATGCCATGTGTCTTGCCTGGCTGACTGCTCGATTCGACTTCCACTCTGTGCACCTGGATCCAGAATTCCAGGGCAGCTTCCCTGTCTTCCCTGAAATCCCTTGGTAACTATGTACACCGAGGATCAGGACCAAACTCATGAACTGACCTGTTTCAGACCTGGTCTTCCAGTATAGGTTGTAGGATGTCGGCTCAAGTATCGGAATGGCTGGAGGTATTCTTGTGTGGGAAGCATAGTGTCCCCATGAGTACACGTGCTGGGACCGTGCCCCTGAAGAACGGGGAAGCCTGAGTTAGAACCCCCCTGGGGTGATCTTTTTGCTAGCTGCACCTCTTTCAATCTCGGGTTAAACAGTGGGTATACTGGCAGGGGTGGGGCTCAGTCATTTAAGGGCCCCAAAGTCAAGTTCCCTCTCATATTTGGAAAAATTCCTAAGGTATCTGCCAGAAACTGGATAGTCTCACTAAAGGGATATTTTGCATCCAGAAAACAAGGAATTGTTTTTATTTAAATTGTACATATTTTAAGTCACATGATGCAAAGCTCAAAAGGCACAAAAAGAAACCTTTCTACCCTGTGTCATGATCAACCAGACCCTTCCCCCAAAAAAAACAATGTTACCATTTTGTTTTATACTTTGTTTCTTTTATACACATACGATCGAATATAATTGAATGTATCTTCTCACGTTTTGATACAAATAATAGCAAGACGACACCTGCTGCTCACAACAGCATGGTGCAGGGTTGAATGCACACCTTACTGAATCAGCCCTCCTAATGCACGTTGAGGGTTTTTCATCTACACACAACACTGCCGCATACAGTATACATGGCGGATACGTTGATAAACAATTGCGCAGCCAAAGGGTATCTGCATTCATACCTGTGATGACTTCCAAAACTCCGCAGAACTTGCCCCAGCCTTGCACTTCCAACCACAATGTGTAAACCAGGGAGTCTTCGGGTGGGAAGATTGCTTATGGAAGACAGAGACACCAAGCAAAGTAGCAGCCGCCCACCGTGCTGGGGTATCACCAACCTTAGGCATCAGAGGCCGCGCACAGGAAAGCAGTGTGGGCACTGACTTAGGTGGAACTGAGGAGCCCCGGCCCCTAACAATGCGTCCAAGTCAAGAAGAAGCAGAAGGCCTAGCCGCCCCCTCCCTGCACCCCCGGGGACGGCAGACAGGTCCGGCAGGGCTGCTCCGAGACCCTCGCAAGCCCCACTGTGACGCAGAGAACGCCCGAGGTCTCGGGGTTCTCGCCACAGCACTAGTCGGCGCGAGGCCGCCACTGTAGACCGTGGATTTTGAGACAGTTGCAGTGTCTCTGGGTTTCCTGGATGACAGGCAGTACCCGAATCCCTGGCAGGTAAAACGGAGCCCCTGCAGTCAGCGCCTTCGCCTAGAAGCCCTGGGAACGCTCCCCGTGGGGCCTGCCTCGTGGGCTGCGGGCAGAAAGAAACTCGGTTTCAGCGCATCACAGAGCTGGACGCCTGCGCGATCCCCTCCCCGGGCGCCCCCTCTCCTGCTGCTGGCCGAAGCCAGCCCCGGGCACATGCGGGTCAGGTGACGACGACGCCTCACGTGATGCCGACCCAGGGGAGGAGGGGGGCGGGCCTCGCTTGGCATTACGTCATCACGTCGCGCGGCCGCGGGGACCGGAGCCGGGACGCCCACGGTGACGGCCCCAGAGCCTCCGAGCGGGGGCGGCGGCGGCGCTCCGGCTCCTGCTGAGCCGCCTGCTCGCCCCGCTCCCCGCCCCGTCCCCACGGACCGTGGCCGGGCTCGGCGCGGCCGCTGGGCCCGGGAGCCGAGGTGAGTGGACCGGAGGTGGCGGCAGGTAGCCCCTGCCTTCGTAAGGTGGTGGCCCTTCCCCCATTCCTGGGGCTCCCTCCGAGGAGGAAGGCGGGGGGGCTTCTGGCCTGCGGCGCCCGGCGACCCGCGCCCCTCCGCTACCTCTGCCAGGCGGTGCCAGCCTAGCGCCCGGCGTGGTCCGCGGCGAAGACCTTCCTTCCTTCTCGGGAACTGACCCTTACCAGGAGTGGACACCCCGGCCCCGCCCCCAACCTGCCGTGGTGGAACCCCCGTGTTCAGGTGTGATCGGAGGTTCTAGAATAGGGCCCTTCCGAAAGGTAAGGGTGAGGCTGTGCTGAGGCTGCCTGGGGGGGCCGCTGTCCCCGCGCGAGGTCCTTCGGACCCTTGCATCCCAGGGTGGCCCTCGGTTGAGCGAAGGAAGACCTTTGTGCAGGACGCTCGCTCTGATGAATCACCGCCTGGTGTGCAAAGTGCCTGTGGCACAGTCGCTGGGTGGATCCTGTAGAGTGATGTGCGGACCATGGACAGAAGTAGATGAGTTTGGGGTCTTGTTTTTGCTCCTCAAACATCCTGACCGTGAGTTGCGAACTTTTTTTAATTTCTTGGATTATTTTTGAAAGTTTTGGATTCCCAGTAAGATGTACTCTCTTAATGACCACCCCCCATTTCACTCCCAGAAATTGTGCCTGAAGCCAAAGGAGAAAAAAAGGCTGTGAACTAGCACCTGTTCCTTAAGTTGCTGTTAGGTAGGGAATCACTGAGCTGATGCGCACAAGTGAACTTTGGGGCACAGCCGTCCCTTGGTGTCTGCAGCGCATTGGTGCCAGGAGCTGCCACAGATACCAGATAGGCTGGCACTCAGGTCTCCTGTAGAACGCTGTGTTTGCATGCAGCCTACCTAATGCATTGTAACTGCTGTGTAAGTGGTTTTGATACTCTGCTTAGGCAATAATGTCAAGGGAAAAACCGTGTGCATGTATAATACCCATGATTTTTTTTTCTCAAATAGTTCTATCTGCAGTTGGTTGACGGTGTGGGTGGGGAGCCATGGGACAGAGGGCTGACTTGTAACAGGCCACGGCAGCGATGGCGGTGAAGTTGGCAGTAGAGGGATTTTAGGTTTCTATCCTGACAAGTTCTCTGAGTATAGAAGAAGTGCTGTGAATATTGATGTGTTAGCATTGGTGGACGTTCCCAATCGTGTAGAACAGGAAGACTCCTACTGAGGAGTTTTGACGACTCTGGGGAGACCACAGATGGCTTGCGTGGTCTCTGCTATTCAAAGCAGGTCCCAGGTTGTCGTTTGAAATTTCATTTTCAGAAGAAATGTAATTATATTTGGAAATCCTGATGCATAATTCTTTGCATCTTGTATTTCTTTGGAAACCAGTTCATTTTCACCAATACTAGCCTTTCTTGTTCTAAGTTGAATACACTGTTTTTCTTATATTTAATTGTTAAATTTTAATTGTGTACCTGCTAGGGTCCATATGAACCAAGAACCCACCCTCTGAATACTTATTCTCTTATGAATATTAAATAGCCATGATGTCACACCTTTAAGGGATTTTACCTTTTTATCACTTGAGACAATCCCATGAAGATACATAGGCCTTTCTGTTTAGAATACAGTTGAGCACCGATTATAATAAATTGCAGGTGGCAGGGACACTCATGACAGAGGACTTGAGAGGAAGCAGGGCTGCTCCTTAAGCTAGAAGAGTTAGCGGCCAGATGGCGGTGAGCCCAGAGAGCGCAGGGGCTGTCCCTGTGGGCGTCTGTGCCTGCAGAGGTCTCAGCCCCCGTCTGGGAAGCTGATGGCCTGTGTGCCTCTGTTGCCTTCTCTTGCAGTTCCAGGACCCAGGGCCCCCTCTGTTCTTTCTCCATATTGCTTGATGGGAGGCAGGATGGCCCCCAAAGACATAATGACCAACACGCATGCTAAATCCATCCTCAACTCGATGAACGCCCTCAGGAAGAGCAGCACCCTCTGCGACGTGACGCTGAGAGTGGAGCAGAAAGACTTCCCCGCCCACCGGATCGTGCTGGCTGCCTGCAGCGACTACTTCTGCGCCATGTTCACCAGCGAGGTAAGCAGGCCGCACCCGTGCAGCCCATGCCTGTAAGCGCCTCGCCTCGCCTCACCGAGGGAGACAACCCAAGCTTCATATGGTAGTGGAGTCTTGTAAGACGCTGTGTAAGCAGGCAGGCTTATTCACAGTGAGATCCGCACATGCCTGTGCCTTCGTTTTCTCACCTCTGAGTTAGAGATAATAGTGCTGCCCAGTGCGTCACGCAAGGCTGTGGCGAAGACAGAAAATTACGTGTCAAGTGCTTAGGACAGCTTAGTGGGTAATGAGACGTTATTGACTTTGTGTTGGTTTGTTTTTAGAGATTGACTTATTTATTTATTTGAAAGTCAGAGTTACACGGAGAGAGGAGGAAAGGCAGAGGCAAAGAGAGAGGTCTTCCATCCGCTGGTTCACTCCCCAGATGGCCACAATGGCCGGAGCTGCACCCGATCCGAAGCTGATAGCTTCTCCCGGGTCTCCCACGTGGGTGCAGGGGCCCAAGGACTTGGGCCATCTTCCACTGCTTTCCTGGGCCACAGCAGAGAGCTGGATGGAAAGTGGAGCACTGGTGCCTGGATGGGATGTCAGCACTGCAGGCGGTGGCTTTACCTGCTACGCCACAGCACTGGCCCCCAGCTATAAAATTTGCCTTCACATTTTTCTAAGCTTTAATTTTTTTTTTAATTATTTGAGAGGCAAAGTTACAGAGAGAGAGAGAGGGAGAGACAGAGAGAGGTTTTCCATCTGCTGTTTCACTCCCCAAACTTGACCACAACTGCTGGAGCTGGGCCGATCTGAAGCAAGTAGCTTCTTCCAGGTCTCCCTTGTGGATGCAGGGACCCCAGCACTTGGGCCATCTTCTACTGCCTTCCCAGACCACTAGGAGGAGCTGGACTGGAAGTGGAGCAGCTGGGATTCCAAACCAGCATCCATATGGGATGCTGGCACTGCAGGTGGAGGCCTAACTTACTATGCCACAGCTCGGGCCCCTCCCCAAACAATTTTTGACTACTATGCCTCCCCAGCTTCTGATATATGTTTATAATCTATTTTCATTTATTTTTAAATGTTTATTTTTATCTACATGAAAGGTAGAGCAACAGAGAGGGGGAGAGAAGGAGAAAGAGAACCATCCACTGGTTCATTCCCCAAATGCCTGCAACAGTCAAAGCCAGAAGCCAGAAACTCCCCCTTGGTCCTCCTGCGTGGGTGGCATGAACCCGAGGACTTGGGTCATCATCTGCTGCCTTCCGAGGCTGGTTAGCAGGCAGCTGGTCAGAGCAGAGCACCGGGACCTGATACAGGATGACATGGCAGGCAGTGGCTCAGCCTGTGGCCCCACGGCACCGTCCCCTGTAATCTAATTTTAAAGCCAGTGCAGTTAATGATGCTGTGAACCAGCACTCAGTCACACTGCTGGTAGGAAACACGCAGAAACCTAACAGGTCATTCCAGCTCCTCCAGGCTGATGTTAAAATGACCTCGTGTAATGCAGCGTTATAGGTCACCATGCTGTACGGTTCTGGGTGATCCCTGCCCGAGAGCATCAGAAGCCGGGCCCTTTCTCGGGGAGGAGAGTGTCACCCAGCAGCCGCAGCCCATGAAATGCATCCAGGCTGCTGGCTGCTAATTGCATGTTGTGCTTCCTGTTTGGTGTCAGCTTGAAGAAAACCTGTCTGCACTCTTTTAACCCATTCAGAAATTAGTATAGAGTTCCATATAAATTTTTTTTTTCCTCATTCTTTCTTTAAAAACTGGCATCTGGCAAGAAAATGCCAGATGATTTTGTCTTTACTTTTAAGAGTAATTGGTTTAAGGGAAAGAGTCCCAAGACCCACTTGGTCCTTTTTATAAAGATTTATTTTATTTATTTGAAAGACAATCACAGAGAGAGGTAGAGACAGAGAGAGAGGTCTTCCATCGCTGATTCACTCCTTAGATGGCTGCAACGGCCGGAGCTGTGCGGATCCGAAGCCAGGAGCCAGGAGCTTCTTCCGGGTCCCCACACAGGTGCAGGGGCCCAAGCACTTGGGCCATCTTCTACCGCTTTCCCAGGCCGTAGCAGAGAGCTGGATTGGAGAGGAGCGGCCAGGATTAGAACCAGCGTCCATGTGGGATGCCGGTGCTTTAGGCCAGGGTTTTAACCCACTGCACCACAGCGCCGGCCCCAAGGCCCACTTAGTTCTCTTAGCAATTATGTATTACCCTGGCAACCGTCTGACTTCACTGGGTTGATCTGTAAAATAGGTGGCTGGACTAGATGGTTTCCCTGTTCTCTTCCAGCCCTGCCGTCTCCTCAGTCTCCTGTCAGTCAGAAGATCACAGACAGGCCAGGGTACCTGAGTTTTATCTGTCGCTTTTAGTTAAGTGGCCCTGGTCAAGTCACATAACTTCTTTGAACCTTAGATCCTTTATGTCATAAGTGGAAATAATATCATATCAGACCAGATAGCCTTACCAGTTTGCTGTGAATATTAAATCATAGGGGCCAGTGTTGTGGAATAGCAAATAAAGCTGCTACCCACAATGCAACACTGCATATGGGCACCAGTTCGAGTCCCAGCTGCTCCTCTTCTGATCCAGCTCTCTGCTATGGCCTGGGAAAGCAATGGAAGATGGCCAGAGTCCTTGGGCCCTGCACCCATGTGGGAGACCTGGGAGAAGCTCCAGGCTCCTGGCTTCAGCCTGGCCCAACCCTGGCCTTCAGGGCCATGTGGGGAGTGAATCAGTAGATGGAAGATTGTGGGCTGCACGTTCTCTCTCTGTAGTTCTGCCTTTCAAATAAATAATACATCTTTTAAAAAAAATCCTAGTAGATTCAGAAGTACACTGAAAAATTGTGATGCAAAATATGAAGGTGAAGGGCTGGTGTTGTGGCCTGGTGGTTTCAGCCACTGCGTGTGGTGCTGGCCTCCCATGGTGAGCCCTGGCTGCTCCTTTTCCAATCCAGCTTCTTGCTAATGGGCCTGGGAATGCAGTGGACAGTGGTCCAAGTACGTGGGCCCTGCCACCCATGTGGGAGACGAGGGTGGAGCTCCTGGCTCCTAGCTTTGGCCGGGCCCAGACCTGGCTGTTGCGGCCATTCAGGGAGTGACCCAGTAGATGGAAGATCTGTGTTACTCTGCCTTCCAAATAAATAAATAAATCATTAAAATATGTATCTATATATGAAATATGAAATTGCTCTAAATTCATGTGTGGTAAAATCATATTTAAACTGACTCATGGGAATATAGTTTATTGAATGAGAAACTTCTGGAAAACATGTATTTATATATTTTAGTATCATTAGCATTGACTGTATTTAATATATTCGGACAGTAATTGTCTGCAAACTTGTACTGCGTTAAATGTTAAAACCAAGGCTGGCACTGTGGTTAATCCTCTACCTGTGGCACCAGCATCCCTTATGGGCACTGGTTCTAGTCCCAGCTGCTCCTCTTCCTATCCAGCTCTCTGCTAAGGCCTGGGGAAGCAGTAGGAGATTGCCCAAGTGCTTGGGCCCCTAGACCCACAAGTAAGGCCCAGAGGAGGCTCCTTGTCCCTGGCTTCAGATTGGCCCAGCTCCGCTCATTGCAGCCATTTGGGGAGTGAACCAGTGGAAGGAAAGACCTTTCTCTCTGTCTCTCCCGCTCACTGTCTGTAACTCTGCCTCTCAAATAAATAAATAAATCCTTTAAAAAAGTTAAAACCCATTTCCAAAATAATGTACAGTGATTTTTTTTAAAGATTTATTTATTTATTTGAAAGGCAGAGTTACAGAGAGGCAGAGGCAGAGAGAGTGAGAGAGAGAGGTCTTCCATCTGTTGGTTAACTCCAGTTTGGCCACAGTGGCTGGGGCTGTGCTGATCTGAAGCCAGGAGCCAGAAGCTTCTTCCAGGTCTCTCACATGGATGCAGAGGCCCAAGGAATTGGACCATCTTTTACTGCTTTCCCAGGCCACAGCAGAGAGCTGGATCAGAAGTAGAACAGCTGAGACTCGAACTGGTGCCTATATAGGATGCCTCTGCAGGCAGAGGCTTTAACCTGCTGTGCCACAGTGCCAGCCCCTAGTGAGGTTTTGTAATGTCTGAGGTTGGTTTTGTTCTTGGCTTCAGTAGAAAATGTTTTGTTATTCTCTGGGCTAATGGAGAAGTCAAAAGTAACAAAGCAATATAATTTGTAATGGGGTGGCCTGGAATTTTGTGAGTAATATAAATTTCTAAATTAAGGTTAAGATGTAGTAAAATGAGCCAGCACTGTGGCTCAATAGGCTAATCCTCCACCTGCGGCGCCGGCACACCGGGTTCTAGTTCCGGTCAGGGCGCCGGATTCTGTCCTGGTTGCCCCTCTTCCAGGCCAGCTCTCTGCTGTGGCCAGGGAGTGCAGTGGAGGATGGCCCAAGTGCTTGGGCCCTGCACCCCATGGGAGACCAGGAGAAGCACCTGGCTCCTGCCATCGGATCAGCGTGGTGTGCCAGCCGCGGCGGCCATTGGAGGGTGAACCAACAGCAAAGGAAGACCTTTCTCTCTCTCTCTCTCTCTCTCACTGTCCACTCTGCCTGTCAAAAAAAAAAAAAGTAGTAAAATTATCATTATCATAGGTAATCAGTTTTTGAAGTTTCTATCCTGTAAACTCAGAGATTTCCACTCTTAGTTAAACAGTTTTTATGAACCTGGCCCCTTCGGCTCTCATAATTTCAAGATCTTCTAGACTAAATACTACCAGTAACTAAGTAACCTGAAGATAGAGCCAGCTCCATCTTTTGAAGAAGTGTTGAACAGTGCAGTTGTATTTAGTGTTATGGAAGGGCCCCGGGTGATCTGTGTGTTCCTGTTCCGCATTACCAAATGTTGTCTGTGGACAGATGACACAGCCAGGTAATCCTGGGAGGCGTGGAGCCATAGCCCCACAGCGTTCTCTGCAAGCATGAAATTGTGTTTTGTTTTATTTTTTCCTAAGATTTATTTATTTATTTATTTGAAAATCAGAGTTACACAGAGAGAGAAGGAGAGACAGAGAGAGAGGTCTTCCATCTGCTAATCCACTCCCCAACTGGCTTCAGTGGCCGGAGCTTCGCCGATCTGAGGCCAGGAGCCAGGAGCTTCTTCCGGGTCTCCATGTAGGTGCAGAGGCCCAAAGACTTGGGCCGTCTTCCACTGCTTTTCCAGGCCATAGCAGAGCGCTAGATCAGACATGGAGCAGCTGGGACTTGAACCAGTGCCCATATGGGATGTCAGTACTGCAGGCAGTGGCTCTACCCGCCACACCACAGCACTTACCCCACTATTGTGTCTTAAAAGTTCGTGAGCAGGGCCCAGTGCTGTGGCGTAGCAGGTAAAACTGCAGCCTGCAGTGCTGGTATCCCATATATATGGGCGCCGGTTCAAGTCCCAGCTGCTCCACTTCCGATCTGGCTCTCTGCTATGGCCTGGGGAAGCAGTGGAAGATGGCCCAAGTCCCAGACCCCTGCACCAGCATGGGAGACCCGGAGGAAGCTCCTGGCTCCTGGCTTCGGATCGGCGCAGCTCCAGCCGTTGCATCCGGTTGGGGAGTGAACCAGCAGATGGAAGTCCTCTCTCTCTCTCTGCCTCTCCTTCTCTCTGTGTGTAACTCTATCAAATAAGTAAATAAATAAATTTTTTTAAAAAGAGTTCATGAGCACTAGTGGTATGTTCATGGAACTTTTGCATTCTATTCGACAGTAAACTCTGTTTTAGTGTGAAGTCAGTGTTTTCAGTTATTCACTAATAAATTTGATATTCCAGAAGGTGCCACCTACTGTGTATATCTGGGGTTCAGGTAACTGCCCACCCCATTCAAAAAGCTACAAATACATGTCCTGTCTGCTCTATACAAGTCCAGCGAAATAGAGTGGTTTGTTTAATGTGTGTTCAGTTCATACTATCATCAGCCTTTCAGCTCTCGCGTTGGAGATGCTGCGTTTGCCTTGTGAGAGTCTGAGCATCATTCTTACTCGGAGTTTGTAGCTTTCAGAGAAGGGGAAGCCTTACGTTGATATCCAGGGTCTGACGGCGTCCACCATGGAGATCCTGCTGGACTTCGTGTACACAGAGACGGTGCACGTGACGGTGGAGAACGTGCAGGAGTTGCTGCCCGCAGCCTGCCTGCTGCAGCTGAAAGGTACGCGCCCCAGGTGTCCCCGGAGGTGTTGGAATGAGCGCTGCAGACTCACGCGTGACATTGATGGAGACAGACTCGGGACGCTTGCCTTCACTGCCCTTGGCTTTTGTGTGGGCGGCAGAATACCAGGTGTCGATAGCCATGTAAAGGGAGCTCTCCCGATATGAGCGCTTGTTTCTTTGAGGGAGAACAGTTCCACCTGTTCTGCTCCTAAAGACCTGGAGGAGGGCACGGTGTATGCATTTCCTTACGTTTGTGCACCTGGTGCTCCTCCCCGTAAGGAAATTAACGAAACTGAGACTCTCTGTGGCCTGCATGGATACTGCTCCTCTTCTAGGGAGGCTGGAGTGGGGGGAGGGCTTTTCATGGGCAACCCTTTTGTTTCTTTAAGTTTTTGAACCATGTAAAATATCAATTAGAAAATAAAAGCTAAATCAGCACTCAAAAGTGAAAGTAGGTTTTCACAGGAATGGGCTGCCTTCCAGCTCCCAATCTGCCTTTTTAAATTTCCAGTCGCTCTCATTATATTCAGTCCTGATATACACGTAGTTTAACATTTCCAGTCTGAATGCAGGATTTTGAGACTGTGAAGCTTTTGCATTCGTGCACAATTACAAAATTCAGTTTATGCTCAGAACTTTGCCATTAGAGCAGTACAAGGTTGTTCTGAGGGTCCGTTAGTAAGTTTTGACGTTACGGAGAAAACGGTGCATTGTGCTGAATCAGCACTTGCGTTTAAAGCTCGGTTCGCAGCAGTGTTAGAAGAGTTTTGGTTTCGTTGCGCCAGTGTCCCTGCCATCCTGATTTTAAAGATGAGGTAGAGACAAGTGTGAGGTTCTTGCTTGAAGCCACAGAGCACATAAGACAGAGTGAAACTGGAATTTGTGTGCATAAATTTTTTTTTACCTGTTTCTTAGATGTTGAGCCAGGGTTCCTCTGATAGAAAAGATATTGAGATCCTAGAATATATACTGGCCAAGTGTACTGAAGTGTTCACCACCTGTTTGTCCTAGGTGTGAAGCAAGCCTGCTGTGAGTTCTTGGAAAGTCAGTTGGACCCTTCTAACTGCCTGGGTATCCGGGATTTTGCTGAAACGCACAATTGTGTTGACCTGATGCAAGCAGCTGAGGTCTTTAGCCAGAAGCACTTTCCTGAAGTGGTGCAGCATGAAGAGTTCATCCTTCTAAGTCAGGGAGAGGTGGAGAAGCTCATCAAGTGCGATGAAATCCAGGTACAGGTTTGGCGTGGTGTCTGCCGCCTTCGAAGCTGGGCCGCTAGGAAACTCGCACAGCGGGGTGAAGTTGCCGTGTGTCTGTAGCAGAGCCTCATAAGTAGGCGTCCGTACTGGCCAAGGGTTTGTTAACTCCCCACAGTTATATATATCAAGCTTCTTTGCATGTTTATAGAGAGCCCGTCACTTTCCTCAATTAAATGTATGATGCCAGTGGTGAGATTCTCTGTTAGGCAGAATGCAGAGTGAACAGGAACCGCAGGTGGAGTGGGTGTCTGTTGACCTCTTCTCTGTTACCCATTCACTCCTTTAGACGTTTATTGAGCATTCTGCTGTGTAGCAATCACTGTGCCAGGGATATGGAGTTCCTGGTTCCCGGGAATGCACAGTACAGTAATAGGAGCAGCTAGACGAACACAGGAGAGTAGTGAGTCCATACAGGGTAAGATCACGTGGAAGGAGAGTAAACCTTTGCTCGGGTGTGGAGCGGAGAGACAGAAGTTTCAAAGTGAGGATGTGCATAAGCTGGAACCAGGTCCTGACTGCGTTGTGGGGCTGGTGGGGACAGGAGGAGGGGACAGGTCAACTGGGTGTCAGAAGAATAGCGCTTGCCTGGCAGAGGGGTTAGGTGCTGCCTGTGCCGGGCAGGCCTTCAGTGTCTTAACCCAGCAGGAGGAGGCTGAGCAGTTCTCACTCCAAACCGCAATACCAGCAGCTAGGCAGAGTTTTTTATTGCATAGAGGTCTATAGTGAGGCGAAGAACTAGAGTTAGAAATCCACACATGGGCCGGCGCTGCGGCTCACTAGGCTAATCCTCCGCCTGCGGCGCCGGCACTCTGGGTTCTAGTCCCGGTTGGGGCGCCGGATTCTGTCCTGGTTGCTCCTCTTCCAGTCCAGCTCTCTGCTGTGACCCGGGAAGGCAGTGGAGGATGGCCCAAGTGCTTGGGCCCTGCACCCGCATGGGAGACCGGGAGGAAGCACCTGGCTCCTGGCTTCGGATCGGTGCAGTGCGCCGGCTGTAGCGGCCATTTGGGGGGTGAACCAATGGAAGGAAGACCTTTCTCTCTCTCTCTCTCTCGCTCTCTCACTGTCTAGCTCTGCCTGTCCAAAAAAAAAAAAGTCCACAGTCCACACATGGGGCTGTTAAATATCTTTGAACTCATAGGATTCATCTCCAGTGGCCCAATTCTTCAGTTAATAATTTCTAGAAAATATCTAGAATCAAGTCTACCTGTTGAGCTTGTTTTACCCAGGTAGAAATTTGATTCTTCAGAAGACTAAGAAATCATTTTTGCTCCTCTCTGGTAATAATAAGAGGGTGATTTTTGGAACTGGCATTTGGCACAGAGATTAAAATTTATGAGCCTACCTCCGATATCCGAGTGCCTTGGTTTTGAGTTCCAGCTCTACTTCTGATCCCAGCCTGTTGCTAACGCGCACCCTGGGAGGCAGCAGTGACAGCTCCAGAATCCGGGTCTTTGTCACCCACGACGGAGACCTGGATTGAGTTCCTAACTCCTGGCCGGTGCAGGCGTTTAGATGGCGAACCAGCAGATGTCTCTCTGTGTCTGTTTCTCTCTCTCTCCTCTCTGCCTCTCAAATAAAAAGTGAAAATAATTTTTAAATATCATGTTTTTCCTTTTTAAAAAAAGATTTTACTGTGTTTATTTGAAAGGCAGAGTTACAGAGAGGGAGACATGGAGAGTGAGAGAGATATCTTCCATCCGCTGCTTCACTCCTCAAATTGTCATGATGGCTGGGGCTGGGGCTGGGCTGTACCGAAGCCAGGAGCCAGGAGCCAGGAGCTTCATCCAGGTCTCCCATGCAGGTGCAGGGGTCCAAGCACTTGGGCCGTTTTCTCCTGCTTTCCCAGACAATAGCAGAGAGCTGGATCAGAAGAGGAACAGCCGGGACTTGAACAGACACCCTATGGGATGCTAGCACCACAGGCAGAAGCTTAACCTGCTATGCCACAGTGCCGGCCCTACCCGCTTCTGATGAAGCTTCCAGCTAATGTTCCTGGGAAGCAGTGAAGGACGGCCCAAATACCTGCCACTCATTTTGGGAGACCTAGCTCCTGGCTTTGGCCTTGCTTAGCTCTGGCTTTTGTGGGAATTTTGGGAGTGAACAAGTGGATGGAAGATTTTGTTCTCCTTTTCTTTCTCTCTCTCTCAGCCTCTCTCTCTTTGTCCCTAAGCAGGCTACTACCTTTCAAATATATAAATCTTTTTAAAACAGAATTAAACTTTGATTAATATTTCAAGTGCTGGGGGCTGTGGTTGTAGCAAAGCAGGTAAAGTCACCATGTGGAACACAGACGTCCCACGTGGGCGCCAGTTTGAGTCTCGGCTGCCACACTTCCAATCCAGCTCCCTGCTAATGGCCTGAGAAAAGCAGCAGAAGGTGACTCAAATGCTTGGGGCCCTGCTACCCACATGGGAGACCCAGATGAAGCTACAGGCTCCTGGTTTCTATCTGGCTTAGCCCTGGCCCTTGCAGCCATTTGGGGAGTGAATCAGTGGATGGAAGACCTCTTCCCTGAACTCTTGACTTTAGAAATAAATAAGCAAATCTTTCAAAAAAAAATAATTCTAAATACTGTAGAAGGAATTTGTTACTTAAAGAAATACTATAATATTTTTTTTTTGACAGGCAGAGTGGACAGTGAGAGAGAGAGAGACAGAGAGAAAGGTCTTCCTTTGCCGTTGGTTCACCCTCCAATGGCCGCCGCGGCCTGCGCGCTGCGGCCAGCTCACCGCACTGATCTGATGGCAGGAGCCAGGTACTTATCCTGGTCTCTCATGGGGTGCAGGGCCCAAGGACTTGGGCCATCCTCCACTGCACTCCCTGGCCACAGCAGAGAGCTGGCCTGGAAGAGGGGCAACCGGGACAGAATCTGGTGCCCCGACCGGGACTAGAACCCGGTGTGCCGGCGCCGCAAGGCGGAGGATTAGCCTAGTGAGCCGCGGCGCCGGCCTGAAATACTATAATATATTTTTGTAAACCAAATGATTACTCCCTGATTTATTTTGTTAAAGCTCGGATTTTTATGTAATTTAATCAAATTTTAGTCAGCTTTATCTTTATACCTTTCCTTAGTGATTTTTCTGAGGGAAAACTGAGTGGGGCACGATGGTGAAATTACTTCCAAACAAAGGGGAATTATTTTATCTTCCCGCACGGTGCTTCACAGCAGCCTGGGGAAGCGACTGTTTTAGATGCTGCAGAGTTGGGCCAGCACTGTCGCGTAGCGGGTAAAGCCGCCGCCTGCAGTGCTGGCATCCCATACGAGCGCTGGTTCGAGTCTCTGCTGCTCCTCTTCCAATCCAGCTCTCTGCTGTGGCCTGGGAAAGCAGTAGAGGATGACCCAAGTGCTTGGACCCCTGCACCCCCGTGGGAGACCCGGAAGAAGCTCCTGGCTCCTGGCTTCAGATCAGCCCAGTTCCAACTGTTGCAGCCATTTGGGGAGTGAACCAGCAGATGGAAGACCTCTCTCTTTCTCTCTCTCTCTCTGCCTCTTATTCTCTGTGTAACTCTGACTTTCAAATAAATCTTTTTTTTTAATGCTACAGAGTAAGGAATTTGCCAAAACCTTAGTTCTCACTCTATGGTGTAGAATAAGGTATCCTTTTTTTCCCCCCCTTAGATTTATTTGTTTATTTGAAAGAGCTACAGAAAGAAAGGGAGAGACAGAGATCTTCCCTTTCGCTGGTTCAATCCCTAGGTGGCAGCAACAGCCAAGATTGGATCAGGCCAAAGCCAGGAGCTTCATCCCGGGGGTCTCCCATGATGGTGGCAGGGGCCCAAGCACTTGGTCCATCTTTTGCTGCTTTCCCAGCCCGTTAGCAGGGAGACAGGGAGCTGGATCGGAAGTGGAGCCGCCAGGACACAAACTGGTGCCCAAATGGGATACCAGTGTGGCAGGCGGTGGCTTTATGTGCTATACCAGCCCTGGTACGTTATATTTTTGTGCTGCCATGCCAGGATAACCAAAAATAATGTTCTTCACACTTGGAAACTGGTAATTTGCTGGAATATTACCAGAGTAAGCACTGTGGATTTGAAGTGTGTTGCTTATTATAACAGAATAACTAATCTGGGGTGAGCATTAAGCCACTGCTGAGGATGCCCGGATCCCATGTGGGAGCGCCAGTTCAAGACTCAGCTCCTCCACTTCCAGTCCAGCCTCGTGCTGATGCCTCCTGGGAGGCAAGAGATGATGGCCCACATGCTTGGGCCCCTGCCACCACTCTGGGAGACCCAGGTAGAGTTCCTGACTCCTGGTTCAGCCTGGCCTAGCCCTGGTTTTTGCATGCATTTGGGGAGTGAACCAACAGACAGCAGATTGATCGATCTCTCTCTCTCTCTCTTGCTCTGCCTCTGTTAGTCTTCCTTTCAAATAAATTTTTTTTAAAAAGATAGCCAATACTCAGTATCTACTGTTGGTTCATTTACCATCTGTTTATTGAGCCTAGAACAGTTCCAGGTGTGGAGAATCCAATTATGAGCAAAACAAAAATTCTGTCCCCTCTATTCTGATTGCACCATCATTGGTGTCTATATTCTCACATCTCCATTTTCAGAGGTTACTTAGAGGTTAACGTTCATGCCACAGCCAGGAACTGCTAGAGCCAGGATTCAAATCATGCTTCTTTTCTTTCTTTTTTTTTTTTTTTTTTTGGACAGGCAGAGTTAGACAGTGAGAGAGAGAGAGAGGTCTTCCTTTTTCTGTTGGTTCATCCCCCCAAATGGCCACTACGCTGCGCCGATCCAAAGCCAGGAGCCAGGTGTTTCCTCCTGGTCTCCCATGTAGGCGCAGGGCCCAAGGACCTGGGCCATCCTCCACTGCCCTCCCGGGCCGCAGCAGAGAGCTGGCCTGGAAGAGGAGCAACCGGGACAGAATCTGGCACCCCAACCAGTCCTAGAACCCGGAGTGCCGGCGCCACAGGCGGAGGATTAGGCTAGTGAGCCGCAGTGCCAGCCATGCTTATTTTCTTAACCACTAAACTATGAGCTGATCGTGTAGTCATTTTGTTTCCAATCATCCAAATGAGGAAGCAAGCACAGAAGTAGTTACTTTTCTAGTTGCTTTTCTTTTTCTTTTCTTTTTTTAAGATCATTTGAATGGCAGAGCAAGAGCAAGAGCAAGAGAATCGATCTTCCATCTGCTGGTTCACTCTCCAGATGGCACAACATTCAGGTCTGGGCCAAGCTGAAGCCAGGAGCCAGATCTTGCCTGGTCTTCCCTGTGGGTGGCAGGGGCCGTCATTTGCTGCCTTCCCAGGAGCATTAGCAGGGACTGGAACTGGCACTCTGCTGTGGGTTGCAGGCATCACAAGTAGCGGCTTAACCCACTGTCCCACAACACTGGCCCCATTTTTAGTGTTTTGAAATGGTATAGATTTCGGAATAAACTAGATGGAACATAGAGAGCAAATAACAAACCTTATTTAGGAGCTGTGACAAAAAGTTTGAAGACTCTGTTGTATAATTTCCCTTTACTGAGTTTTGAGACTGCCTTTTGCGTGTTCTCTGAAAATACAGCAGATGGCATATTTGTTTTCTGTTCATGTGCCAGCCAGGATAGGAACCAGTCTGACTCCCAGTTGCTAATCCTTCCTCTTATGAAATAAAGCAGCAGTGCTTAAAGCAGTGGGAAGGAGTGCATCCTATTGGTGAGGAGAACACGGCAGGAGAGCCGACCAGCGTTCAGTCTCTGCTGTGTGGCACTTGTTCCAGCCGCTCGTCTGCAGTTGCCTCTTCCATGAGTACACGGGCTGTTCTGAACATTGAGTAAGGATGGCAGTTCCCCATATGGTGAAGAATTCTCTGAAAATTTGCAGCATTAGCATTGGAGGGTTTCTCTCCCAGTTTAGCTGTTTCTCTGTAAGTCTAATCCATCGTTATCCAGTAGAACATTCCGTCTTCAGTAAAAGCAGGAATCTCAGATCATGAATGAAAAAAATCTTGTTTTTACAACTGCCTGGGCTGGGCTAAAGCTGGGGACCAAAGCTCAGTCCAGGTCTGCCGTGTGGGAGGCAGGAACCCAACTGTTGTGTATCACCACTGCCTCCTAGGGTCTGTATTAGCAGGAAGCTGGAGCCAGAGCTGGAGCTGGAAGTTGGACCTAGGTGTTCTGATGTGGGACACGGTGTCCTACTGCGTGGCCAAACACCCACCCCGTGAAGAATGAAACCCATGAAGAATTTCTCTGTTTTCTTGTTCTTATTTGAGAACAGAAAGAGAGGGTGCTCTGTCATATGCTGATTCATTCCCAGATTCCTGCAGTGGCCCTGTCTGGATGGCAGGGACCCGTCTACTTGGGCCTAACTGCTGTCTCCCAGATTTTGCATTAGGAGGAAGCTGGAATCAGGAACTGGAGCCCCTGGACTTGAGTCCAGGAGCTCCAATGTGAGATGTGTGCGTCCTAACCAGCGGTTCAATCACGGGGCCAAAGCCCACCCCTGCTCTAAATTTAAATGTAAATAGCCACACATGGCTAGTGGCTACTGGATGGGCCAGGCAGTGCTCTTCTGTCTGCCTGAGAGCCCCGTCTTAACTCCCTGGCTCACTGCTTCTCGTCCAGCAGATTTCAGTGGACCATTCTTGGAAAACCCGTCCCTGACTCATCCATCTACATGAGGAAACCTCAGCTCTTCTGTCTGGCACCTTTCCTGTGTAGTTCGGGGGAACCGTGGGGTGGCTTGTTCTTCTGATTGAGCAGTTGTCTTCCCTCTGAAGAACAAGGATCACGTCTGGTTTGCTCACCATTGTATTACCAGCTTCCAGAGAATGCCTGGCACTTAGCTGGGGTTCAGTGAGTCCCACAGTTCCTGGGAAAAGTTGGCAGGGTGGATTTTAGTCCAGTCACGGTGACACTGAAAGGTCTGCCCAGCACACGTGCTGTAGGAGTTGCTGGGAGGGAAACATGACCTGTATCTGAGTGTTTGTCTTTGTGGGATCCTGCTGTTATTATGTACCCAGTGGCATGGCGCAGGCTTCCTAGGGTGTCTTACCTTATCCAGATCATCATGAGTAAGCTGAGACCTGAGTTTCCCAAATGCCCAGTCACATGTATCATCTCAAGAGCACGAGCGTAGACACAGTGGTTGCTCCGGCACCAGTGAACGGTGTGTTAGCGTCTGCAACGTTCCATGTGATGGTGACAGAGAAGCTCCTACGCCAGAGGCTTGGGTGGCCTGGAGGCCCTAAGTTAGGAATAAAAATTATGTCAAGAGCTAGTTTTGAACAGGGCAACAGGTTGCCCATGTGTTCTCTCTAAAGTAGCTGAAATGACCCAGAAGAATTCAGAAATGGGAAAAATTCCAACATGAAGGCCAACATGTGACTGACAGTTTATTAGATACTAGCTTGGACTTTTTTTTTTTTTTTTTTTAACCAAATTGACTTGCATCCATTTCCCGATCTGAAAAGATTGCTGTTTCCAGAAGATAGGAAGTGACAGTGCTGGCAGTGGAGAGGAGAGCACGCGTTTCAGGCTGTGAGTTACTTGGAAGAGCAGAGTCGTGATGTGTGATTCTACCTTGCAGGTGGATTCCGAAGAGCCAGTCTTTGAGGCCGTCATCAACTGGGTGAAGCACGCCAAGAAGGAGCGAGAAGAGTCCTTGCCCGACCTGCTACAGTATGTGCGGATGCCCCTTCTTACCCCTAGGTACATCACAGATGTCATAGATGCCGAGGTAAGTCTTGGCAGATACTCAGGATCAAAGCCTGGACCAGCGCTAGTAGCATAGGGTAGTGTCATGGGGATTGATTGCATTCTGATTTTTTAATTTGAGGGAGAGACTTCCATTCACTGGTTCACTCCCCCACATACCTTCAATAGCCTGAGCCGGGCCAACGGAAACTGGCAGCCAGAACTCAGTCCAGGTCTACGATGTAGGTGGCGAGCACTCACCCATTCCTTGAGCCTCCCAGGGTGTGTGTGAGCAGAAAGCGAATCGGGGGTGGAGGCAGGACTTGAACCTAGCCACTCCGGCATGGGGTGTGCACATCCCACCTGGCAGCCTCATTGCCCCTTGTGGTTTTAATGCAGGCACACTGTCTCCTGACTGTCTCCTGGCTGTCTCTCCAGGCATACCAGAGAGGTGGTGCTGGGGAGGCCAGAAGCATACTTCTGGGAAAAGTTCATTGCTGGGCAAATCAGGTTCCTGACACGGTGGAAATGTAGGCTTTAATTGTGTGTTTCCTCCTCTTTTTCTTTAAGTGCCCCCTGGTGCTTTCTTCACGTAAGGAACATCAGGGGATGGATTTTGTTCCCTTCTCCATTACCAGAAATTGTTTCCAATTGCTCTAAAAAACGGGACAACAATGCCTTGCTTAGCAGGTACCCCCTCCCCTTAAGGTTTATTTATTTGAGAGGCAGGGTTAGAGAGTTAGACAAATAGACAGAGATCTTCCATCACTGGTTCACTTCCCAAATGGCTGGAATGGCCAGAGCTGGGCCCATCTGAAGCCAGAACCAGGAGCTTCTTCCAGGTCTCCCACATGGGTGCAGGGGCCCAAGGACTTCGGCCATCTTCTGCTGCTTCCCCAGGCCAGTAGCAGGGAGCTAGATCAGAAGTAGAGCAGCCGGGACTTGAACCAGCACCCATATGGGATGTCAGCCTCACAAGCATATCTTTATCTGCTAGGCCACCACACCAGCCCCTCGGCTTTCTTATCTATAAAATGGAGGTGGGAATAGAACATAACCTCCGTGAGTTGTTATCAGTATTAAATAAGTTAATATGTAAAAAATTTTAGAACCATATCTTGAACATAAGTGTTTGCTACTTTTCTTTTTTTTAAGATTTTATTTGAGAGGGAGAGTTACAGACAATGAGAGGGAGAGACAGAGAAAAAGGTCTTCCATCCGTTTGTTCACTCCCAAAATGGCTGCAACGGCCAAAGCTGTGCCAAGGAGCTTCTTCCCAGTCTCCCATGCAGGTGCAGGGGCCCAAGGACTTGGGTCATCTTCTACTGCTTTTCCAGGCCATAGCAGAGAGCTGGATCGGAAGTGGAGCAGCTGGGACTGGAACTGGTGCCCATATGGGATGCTGGCGCCGCAGGCAGAGGATTAACCTACTGCACCATGGTGCCAGCCCTACTACTTTTCTTTATCTAACTTTCCAATTCATACCAAAGACTTACTGGGTCAGGTTAATACATGTGCTATGTAATTAGAGCTTGTATCATTCAGGGTCTCCCAGTACGAAATAGTGGAATGCTCAAAATATGCAAGTGTAAGGCCATTTTATTTATACACACACACACACACACACACACACACAAAGGTGTGAGTACAGAGAAACAACAAAAGACAGTGAAATCACTCGTATGTGGCTATTAACCCCTGAGTGTGCAGGGACAGAGTTGAGGAGTGACTACTGGACCCAGAAAGAGTTGTGTAGAACCCATACCATCAGAAGAACCATGACCTTTGGTTGAGCCTGTCCAAACCTAAAGCTCAGGGCATGGGAGCCCGTTGAGATAGTGCACATAGGCCGACTTCTGAACCAGAGAGCAGAGTAGAGGAGGTGCAGAGTGAATCTGGGGAGGCAAATAAAAGATGTCCAGTACCCAGCTCTATTGGAAATAGACATGGGGGTTATGATCAAGCCGTGAACCTCGGGGAAGTTATTTCAGGCAAGATAGACTTCTCCCCATTCACCCTAGAAAATAACAGATGCTTTTTGGTTTTCCCTTACAATTCTCGTTACTATATTCTTAGATTTGCATAATTCCTGGAAGGACGTGCAAACTCCTAAAAGTTGTTAAGCACCTGAGTAGATGAGGAGTACGTCTCAGTATATCCTTTTTGTTGTTTGTTGTTGATTCATGTAATATATTATCAAAAAATAAAAATAAGGGCAGGCATTTGGTGCAGTGGTTAAAATGCTGCTTGGGATGCATCCATATCAAGAGGGCCGAGTTCAAGTCCTGGCTCCACTTCCTATTCCGGCTTCCTGCTAACGTGTACCCAGGGAGGCATAAGGTGGTGGCTCAAGTGCTTGGGTGCCTTCACCCACTTGGGAGACGAAGGCTGTGTTCCTGACGCCTGGCCTCAGCCTGGCACTTTTCAGGCTATTGTGGGCATTTGGGGAGTGAACTAGCAGGTGGGAGCTCTCTGTCCCTGTTTGTGTGTTTCTCTGCCTCTCACATAAATAAATTAAAATGGAAACAAACAAATTTGATAAATAAATTTTTAAGTCCTATCTAGAAACCCACAGCATAGTTGTCTGGAACCACAAGGCTTTGGAAACTGGTTTCTGTATTGAAGTGGAGAAATTAATCTCTTACGCCAGTTGCCCTCCTAGGCCATGCGAGGTGGGCCCTGTGCTGACTCACCCTGCTGTCTGCTCTCTTTCAGCCTTTCATCCGCTGTAGTTTGCAGTGCAGGGACCTGGTTGATGAAGCGAAGAAGTTTCATCTGAGGCCTGAGCTGCGCAGTCAGATGCAAGGGCCCAGGACAAGGGCTCGTCTGGGTAAGCCGGCTGCTGGCAGGGTGAAGGCTGCCTCTCAGTGACTTCTTGCAGGGAGAAAGATCTCAGAGTGCTTGATAGAACGAGACCTTGCAGATCTGTGTCATCTTTGACTTTGTCTTTTCAGACCAGTCCCCTGCTCACTCTACACTTTCCTAGAAATCAGGGATGTTTTCCCTGTTTCGCCTGACTGCTTAGAGAGTGAGATGAAGGATAGAAGCACGTTGTAAATCGCCGAGTGTTGTGTAATATGCTGTCACTTTATTTCAGTATATTTTGATGACTGAATTAGAGATTATTTTGGGTGCCGTATAATATGTAGTACACTTCTACCCACCTCTTTCCTTCTCCTTATGTGTGTTTGCCATTCTGGAATGCAAAGAGGAGGAGAAGGAGCCCAGTGCAGTTGAAAGTGGTCTGTCCCCCATATACATATGTGTGTATGTTATATATATATATTATATATTATATATATTATATATATAAATATATATATATAATATATATATATTATATATAAAGATGTATTTGAAAGGCAGATTTACAGAGAGAGGGGAAGAGACAGAGAGTCTTCCATCTGCTGGTTCACTCCCCAAATGGACCAGGCCATAGCCAAGAGCCTGGAACTCCGTCTGGGTCTCCCATGTGGGTGCAGGGTCCCAAGCACTTGGACCATTTTCTGCTGCCATCCCACGGCAGCTGGATCAGAAGTGGATCATCCAGGACTCAAACCAGCCCTCAAATAGGATGCCGGTGTCGCAGGCAGCAGTTTAGCCTGCTGCGCCACTATGCCAGCTCTCCCCCTATAGTTTTTTAATGGCACAAGCACTACATGTTCAGTGGAGAAATTTTAGAAATACAGAGAAGCAAAAAATAAAGATCTTCCATAATCCCACCACCACCCAAAGACCTCTTTTGTTTTGTTTTTTCCAAAATATATTTATTTATTTATTTGAAAGGCAAGTGACAGAGGAAGAGATACAGAAAAAGACATTGTCCATGTTCTTGTCACTACCCAAATGGCCACAGCAACCAGGTGTGGGCCAGGCCAAAGCCAGGATCCAGAAACTCCATCTTGGACTCCCACATGGGTAGCAGAGGCTCAAGGACTTGGGCCATCTTCTGCTGCCTTCTCAGGCACGTTAGCAGGGAGCTGAGTTGGAAGCAGAGCAGCTGGGACTCAGAATGGGATGCGTGTGTCCCAGCCCTCTGGGCCACAACCCTATCCTCCCAGATACTGCATTGTTTGAGAGGAAACTCTTAGAGAAGTTATTGCAGGGGCCGGTGCTCTGGCGTAGTGGGTAAAGCCCCCTGGCCTGCAGTGCTGGCATCCCATATGGGCGCCAGTTCTAGTCCCGGCTGCTCCTCTTCCGATCCAGCCCTCTGCTATGGCCTGGGATAGCAAGTTCTTGGGCCCCTGCACCCACGTGGGAGACCCAGAAGAAGCTCCTGGCTCCTGGGTTCAGCCTGGCCCAGCCCTGGCTGTTGTGGCCATCTGGGGAGTGAACCAGCGGATGGAAGACCTCTCTCTCTCTCTCTCTGTCTCTACCTCTCTCTGTAACTCTGTATTTCAAATAAATAAAATAAATCTTAAAAAAAAAAGAAAAAGAAATTATTGCAGATGGTTCTGTTCTGTTCACCCCTGCTGGATGACAACATGTGTCTCTCATACTATATACAAAGATATTTATGTCAACACAAGATAGACCATAGGATTAAATGTGAACGCCTGGAAGAAACTATAGGAAAATATTTGTATAGACTTTGGATGGAATACTTTTTTTAAAATTCTTTAATTGTATGTATGTTTGCTTATTTAGAAGATAGAGACAGGGATCATCTGCTAGTCCACTCACCATTGTCCACAACAGATAGGGCTGGGCATCCTGAATCCAGAACTCAACCCAGGTCTGCTGTGTGGGTGTCAGGAACCCAAGTGCTTGATCTGTCGTCTCCCACCACCCCTTAAAGTGCTCATTAGAAGGAAGCTAGAGGGGGCCAGTGCTGTGGTGCAGTGGGTTTACGCTCCGGCCTGAAGCGCCGGCATCCCATATGAGCGCCGGTTCTGGTCCCGGCTGCTCCTCTTCCGATCCAGCTCTCTGCTATGGCCTAGGAAAGCAGTAGAAGATGGCCCAAGTCCTTGGGCCCCTGCACCTGCTTGGGATCCCTGGAGAAAGCTCCTGGCTCCTGGCTCCTGGCTTCAGATGAGCGCAGCTCTAGCCATTGTGGCCATCTGGGGAGTAAACCAGCAGATGGAAGTCCTCTCTCTCTCTGCCTCTCCTCTTTCTGTATAACTGAATTTCAAATAAATAAATAAATCTTTTAAAAAAAAGAAAAAAGAAGGAAGCTAGAATCGGAAGTGGGGCTGGGACTCAGACCCAGGCACTCCACTGTGGGATGTGGGTGTGCCAATTGGTGTCCTAACAGCTTATGCCAAACTTCTACCCCTTTTTTCTTTCATTAATTTTAAAATATATGCAACATAAAATTTATCATTTTAATTTGTAAGTGTAGGGTTTCAGAGTGTTAAATACATTCCATCGTTGTACAGTCAATGTCTAGGATACTTTTCGTCTCGCAAAACTGAAAGCTGTACCCATTAAACAACAACTGCCATCTTCCCCTTCTCTCCCTGGTTCAGAACCTCCAAAGGAGAAAAACGTAGACTCCTTCGAGGTTACTTGACTAGCTCAAAATTTTTAAAAATTGCTGCATGGGCTGGCATTATGGCAAAGCAAGTTAAGCCACCACACAGCGAGAGCATCCCATATGGGTGCCAGTTCAAGTCCCGGCTGCACCACTGCCGATAGAGCTCCCTGCTAGTGTACCTGGGAAAGCGTGGAAGATGGCCCAAGTCCTTGGGCCCCTGCTACCCACATGGGAGACCTGGAGGAAGCTCCTGGCTCCTGGCCTCGGCCTGGCCCAGCTTGGCCATTGCAGGGATTTGGGAGTAAACCAGAAGATGGAGAAGCTCTATTTCTTTCCAACTTTTCTTTTTCTCTCTGTCATTCTGCCTTTCAAATTAATAAGAAAATACATCTTTTTAAAAGACCAAATAGGGGCCGGCACTGTGGAGTAGTGGGTAAAGCTGCAGCGTGCAGTACCGGCATCCTATATGAGCACCGGTTCTAGTCCCAGCTGCTCCTCTTCCAATCCAGCTCTCTGCTGTGGCCTGGGAAAGCAGTGGAAGATGGCCCAGGTTCTTGGGCCCCTGCACCCACGTGGGAGACCTGGAAAAAGCTCCTGGCTCCTGGCTTCAGATCAGCTCAGCTCTGACTGTCACAGTCATTTGGGGAGTAAACCAGCAGGATAGGAGACCTCTCTCTCTCTTGCTCCACCTCTCTCTGTAACCTGTAACTCTGTCTTTCAAATAAATAAAATAATTCTTAAAAAAAAAAAAAGACCAAATAAAGTTTCATCTTCAAGGATATTCATTGCAAGGTATATAACCCAAAATTATGAACATCTTAAATGCCTAAGAATATTGTAACAATGTTTTTTTGTTTTTGTTTTTGTTTTTGACAGAGTGGACAGTGAGAGAGAGAGACAGAGAGAAAGGTCTTCTTTTGCCGTTGGTTCACCCTCCAATGGCCGCCGCGGCCAACGTGCTGCGGCCGGCGCACCGCGCTGATCCGATGGCAGGAGCCAGGTACTTCTCCTGGTCTCCCATGGGGTGCAGGGCCCAAGGACTTGGGCCATCCTCCACTGCACTCCTGGGCCACAGCAGAGAGCAGGCCTGGAAGAGGGGCAACCGGGACAGAATCCGGCGCCCCGACGGGGACTAGAACCCGGTGTGCCGGCGCCGCAAGGCAGAGGATTAGCCTAGTGAGCCGCGGCGCCGGCCCCGTAGGGGTTTATCTGTGTTTCTTCTCAGCCCCAATCTACTACATTTGCTCTTTGAAGTCCAGGTTTTTTAAAAGGTCCGGGTCACTGGGCTCCTACACATCTCCTGAGCATTGAGTTGTCCAAACCCCCCGTAAACTGCTCCCCCTTGAGTTCCAGAAGAGCCAGTGCACAGGTAAGAAGTCTCCTCAGAATAATCCCCCAGGGGAAGCGGAGGCTGCCGCGCCTCCACAGAATGGAGAAGGACTTCCCAGGAAATCTGCGTCTGTGGCTGAATTGGCAGGGGATGTGATCTTGCAGTCGACTCAGTGGAAAAGTAAATGATCATGGAAAAGAGATTCTAAAAACCTGCTCTTTGGTTCCTAAGCCTCAACCTTCAACATTTTTGTGACAAAGTTAGAATGTTCTTTCTCTGTTATTTAAAAAAAAAAAAAAAAGTACTGCACCCACATTGTGGTACAGCGGGTGAGGCTGGCACTTGGAATGCCAGCATCCCATATCAGAGTGCCAGTTCCATTCCCGGCTGCCCCACTTCCAATCCACCTTCCTGCTAATGAACTTAAGAAGGCAGCAAGGGCCAGCGCTGTGGCATAGTGGGTAAAGCTGCCGCCTGCAGTGCCAGCATCCCATATGAGTGCCGGTTAGGGTCCCAGCTGCTTCACTTCTGATCCAGCTCTCTGCTGTGGACTAGAAAGGCAATAGAAGATGGCCCAGACACTTGGGTCCCTGCACCCATGTGGGAGACCTGGAAGAGACTCCTGGCTCCTGGCTTCAGATCAGAGCAGATCCGGCTGTTGCGGCCATCTAGGGAGTGAACCAGTAGATGGAAGACATCTCTTTCTCTCTCTCTCTCTCTCTCTCTCTCTCTCTTTCTCTCTTTCTCTCTTTCTCTCTTTCTCTCTCTGCCTCTCTGTAACTGCCTTTCAACTAAATAAAATAAACCTTTAAAAAAGAAAAACAACACAAAACATGGCCCAAGTGTTTGGGTCCTGCCACCCATGTGGGAAACCCAGATGGAGTTCCAGGCTCCTGGCTTTAGCTTGGCCCAGCCCCAGCCATGGACATCATTTAGGAGGTGAACCAGTGGATGGAAGATCTCTGTCTCTCTCCCTCCCTCTCTTCCTCTGTCACCCTGCCTTTTAGATAAAACTAAATACTAAATACACAGATATTAAAAAGAAAAATCCCCCCGTGTGAGTGCCCATCCAGCCTGGCGTGAGCCAAGAGTGCCTGTGCCTCCCACCCACAGGTGAGACCTCAGTTATGGTGGCAGCGCCAGCCGGGTAGGTGAGGATGGTGTGGTGATGTGTTCAACCTGGCCGTCCAGAGTTTCAGTGTGGGCCACACGTAGGCTCCAGAGCTTCAGTCCTCCAGAGCTAGAGCCTCTAACAGCAGTAATCTCCTCCTAGGCAGTCTGTGATGGGATTCCTTTCTCCAGTTGCTTCTCTCAGCCACGTCAGACAGGGCGTCCTGGAACTGCTGCGTGCACTTCCCTGGGGGGGGTACCCAGGCCGCTGTGATGAGGTCACCTGTCTTTTTCTGCCTTTGTCCTTAGGAGCCAATGAGGTGCTTCTGGTGGTTGGGGGCTTCGGAAGCCAGCAGTCTCCCATCGACGTGGTAGAAAAGTATGACCCCAAGACTCAGGAGTGGAGCTTTTTGCCCGTGAGTGAGGGGTGGTTTGTGGGGAGAGAGCTTCAATGTGCACAGACGCTGACCTGGGTTGTAACGAATGCAGCTGGAAGAGCAGAAAGGCCCACAGGCAGCGTGATGTTCTCACCATCACGGCCTTGTCCGTGCATGGAAGATGCTCAGGGAGCCGAGGTCCTGACTTTAGAAAGTTAGGCTTTAGACATAAGTGTCTGTGGCCCTGTGTCAAATGAAATTCAGCTCGTCCCACTGGTCAAGTGCCTGTGTAGGTGGCCTGCATGACTCCCAGCATGCTTCATTGGTCATGCTGTGTCCTACTGAACTCAGTGTTAAATTGGGGTGGACATTTGGTGCACTGGTTAAGATGCCACTTGGGACACCCACGTCCCCTACCAGAGTGCCTGGCTCACGTCTCAGCGCTGCTCTGTATTCCAGCATTCTGTCCAAGTGCACCCTGGGGCCAAACGGTTGATGACTCAAGTACTTGGGTCCTTGCCACCCATATGGGGGCCTAGGTCGAGTTCCTGGCTGCTGGTTTCTGGCTTTTGGCCTGGCCCAGCCCCAGTTACTGCAGGCATTTGGGGAATGAATCAGTAGATGGGAGGTGTCTCTCTGTCAGCCTTTCATATAAATTAAACAAATAGATGAAACTGTTGAAGATTATTAAATTGAACTCGTGTTTATTGAACTCAGAAGTTCATATTGTTCTCCCTCGGTATGTGTCTATTTTAGTGTTGAATGAAGGATAATTTCTGAGAAAGCGTGGAACTTTTTTGATCGATCCTCCTCCTACCCTTTAGGGCCTATGAATTCTGGCCCTTTGATTAGCAACGTGGGAGAGCTGTGCCAGTCAGTTAGCCCAGGCCTCTGGAAAGGAAAGAGGTGGTGGGCAAGAAAGCCGTTAAGTCTCGAGGCAGCTTGGGAAGAGGCAGCTGTGTCGCGGGCCTGCATCTCCACGCAGCACAGCAAGCCTCGTGTTCAGTGGACAGTGAGGCCACGTGCGCAGGAACCAGTGCCTCAGGGAAGGCTGGTGGTGGCAGGTGAAGCGACAGATGTGCGTGGACACACACAGCGGGCTGGCGAGAGCTGCAGCCCCAGACTCACCTGCCGGAAATGCTGTGCACCTCTTCCCTCCCAACCCCTAGAGCATCACGCGGAAGAGACGCTACGTGGCCTCAGTGTCCCTCCACGACCGGATCTACGTGGTCGGAGGCTATGACGGCCGCTCCCGCCTCAGTTCCGTGGAGTGTCTGGACTACACGGCGGACGAGGACGGGGTCTGGTACTCGGTGGCTCCTATGAACGTCCGCCGAGGCCTCGCGGGAGCTACCACCCTGGGAGGTAGGTAGGTTGGGTGCACAGGGCTGCATGTGCCAGATCAGGGTTCCCACCTCTCCTGTTGTTAGGAACATGAAACCTGAAGAAAAAATTGGTAAGCCCACGTGGTCCTTTTTGCCCTAGAAATATCAGTTACAGAAGCTGTTTAATATTTGTGGATATTTCAACACTGACTGCAAAGTTGGTAAATTCCAGTACGCTGGCTGGGGAACTGGCAGTGGGTGTCTTCCTACAGGCTCCCATGTTGGCTTCAGACACTTTGAAGGATTTCATCGTATCCTGTTCTTTTTAGATGTCTTGACTGTGCTGCCGTCCTTGTCCAGAAGACATAATTAAACATTTTGCTTTTGCTCCCAGGCGTTTGAAGAACCTGTGGAGAGTTTGTAGAGGAGGCTGGTGCTGTGGCTCACTAGGATAATTCTCTGCCTGCGGCGCCGGCACCCTGGGTTCTAGTCCCGGTTGGGGTGCCAGGTTCTGTCCTGGTTGCTCCTCTTCTAGTCCAGCTCTCTGCTGTGGCCCGGGAGTGCAGTGGACGATGGCCCAAGTCCTTGGGCCCTGCACCTGCATGGGAGACCAGGAGGAAGCACCCAGCTCCTGGCTTCGGATCAGCGCAGAGCCGGCCGTAGCAGCCATTAGGGGAGTGAACCAACGGAAGGAAGACCTTTCTCTCTGTCTCTCTCTCACTGTCTATAACTCTCTCTCTCTCTCTCTCTCTCTCTCACTGTCTAACTCTGCCTGTCAAAAAAAGAGTTTGTAGAGTAAAGAGTCCTTGGAAATGTGTCATTCTCTCAAATCTACAATTTGTTCATTCTGGGCAGATATGATCTATGTCTCTGGAGGCTTTGATGGAAGCAGGCGTCACACCAGTATGGAGCGGTACGACCCAAACATTGACCAGTGGAGCATGCTGGGAGACATGCAGACAGCCCGGGAGGGTGCTGGCCTGGTAGTGGCCAGCGGAGTGATCTACTGTCTAGGTATGCAGCCTGGGGTGCAGGAGCCTCCGGCTGGGGGTCCCTTTGGGCCAGAATGAAGTTCATAGACTCCTGCAGCGAAACCCTGGTCTGTGTCAGAATGCGTCCCCTCGTGAGTGGCAGTCCGCTCTGTGTGTGCAGTGTATTAGAACTGTGGGAATGCTAGGCCGGCGCCGCAGCTCACTAGGCTAATCCTCCGCCTTGCGGCGCCGGCACACCGGGTTCTAGTCCCAGTTGGGGCGCCGGATTCTGTCCCGGTTGCCCCTCTTCCAGGCCAGCTCTCTGCTGTGGCCCGAGAGTGCAGTGGAGGATGGCCCAAGTGCTTGGGCCCAGCACCCCATGGGAGACCAGGAGAAGCACCTGGCTCCTGGCTTCGGATCAGCGTGGTGCGCTGGCCGCAGCGGCCATTGGAGGGTGAACCAACGGCAAAGGAAGACCTTTCTCTCTGTCTCTCTCTCTCACTGTCCACTCTGCCTGTCAAAAAAAAAAAAAAACCTGTGGGAGTGCTGGAACCATGGAAGAGCCGGCTGGGAGAGGCTGCAGCACTCACAGTCCTCTCCAGAATGGTCTCCGCTCTGTCTTGCAGGAGGATATGATGGCTTGAATATCTTAAATTCAGTTGAGAAATACGACCCTCATACAGGACACTGGACTAATGTCACACCAATGGCCACCAAGCGTTCTGGTAAGACCAGTGAGATCTGAGGACGGATAGATGGTGCGCGTGCAGTGGTGGTGGTGTGGTCCCAGCACAGGGGGCAGCAAGTCAGGTTTCACCGCTGACCCCTGTGTAGCTGACCCCGTGTTAATAGTCAGCCGCCGGCTCCCTCTTGTCTCTGCTCTCTGGAGACCAGGACACCAGTGACTCTCACTTTCAACCAGATGATAAACTTGAGGGCAGCCCCCATCTTGTTTTATTCATCTTTTTTTTTCTTTGTTCCTTCCCTGAACTACCAAGTACAGGTTTGTTTGTAACATATGTTAAATACTGTGTGCGAATTGCAGTCTCGGGGCCGGCGCTGTGGTGTAACGGGTAAAGCCATCGCCGTGGTGCCAGCGTCCCATATGGGCGCCAGTTCTAGTCCCGGCTGTTCCATGTCCCATCCAGCTCTCTGCTATGGCCTGGGAAAGCAGTGGAGGATGGCCCAAGTCCTTGGGCCCCTGCACCCACGTGGGAGACCTGGAAGAAGCTCCTGGCTCCTGGCTTCGGATCGGCGCAGTTCCTTTCATTGCAGCCAATTGGGGAGTGAACCAGCTGATAGAAGACCTCTCTCTCTCTCTTTCTCTCTCTCTCTCTCTGTCTCTGCCTCTGCCTCTGCCTCTGCTTCTCCTTCTCTCTGTGTAACTCTTTCAAATAAATAAATAAATCTTAAAAAAAAAAAAATGCAGTCGCTAGTGCTTGGGAACAGAAGAGTAGCTCTTCACTGAGAGCTTCTTGTTTGTTTTATTTGAAGAGCAGGGTTATAGCGAGTGAGGGACAGACAGACAGACAGAGCTCTTTCTTCTGCTGGTTCACTCCCCGAATGGCTGTAATGACCAGTACTGGGCCAGACCAAAGCTAGGAGCCAGGAACTCCATCCAGGTCTCCCATGTGGGTGGCAGGGGCCCGTGTTCTTGGGCCATCTGCTGCTGCGTTCCCAGGCACATTAGTAGGAAGCTGGATCAGAAGGGGGACAGCCAGGAGGTGAACCGTTGTTCGTAGGGGATGCCGGCTTTGCAGGTGGCAGCCTAACCTGCTGCACCGCCCCGCCCGCCCCACCAAGAGCTTTTTGGAGTGGAGGGCGGAGCTGCAGGAGGCACAGAACGCTGAGCAGATCCTCTGGTTCACTTCCGGGTAAAACGTGCTCCTTTGCCCCCGTCACCTCACTGCCTCCTTTTCCTGTCCCCTTTTCTCCGGAGGAAGAGTGGGGTCCGAGTTAATGAAAGCGAAGAGGGGGACCATTGCGGTTTCCTCTCATCGCTTCAAGTCCTGGCTGGAGAGTTTGCACACGGGATAACCTGTGCTGGACTAGATTATGCCAGGCCTGTCCAAACCCCCTCCGTGTCCCTCAGCTACCCTAAAATTCACCCAGCCATGAGTGACCGCGTTTTGTTTCTAAACCTCAGAGCCGAGGCTTCGTACCATTCATTTGCTAATACCGTCTTTTTCTCCAGGTGCTGGAGTAGCCCTGCTGAATGACCATATTTATGTGGTGGGGGGATTTGATGGTACAGCCCACCTTTCTTCTGTCGAAGCGTACAACATTCGTACGGATTCCTGGACAACTGTCACTAGTATGACCACCCCACGATGCTATGTAGGGGCCACGGTGCTTCGGGGGAGGCTCTATGCAATCGCAGGGTGAGGATTTAGACAGCAGGCCAGAGTCGTCATCCATCCAGGGCAAGTCTGGGGGACCCGGTCATCAGTCGTTGGTGGATGGAGACAGGGTTTGGGCTGGGAGAAACAGCTCCAGTGACAACCTTTAAGGAACCATTAGTGTGGGGAGAGACAGAGAGTTCATTTCTTTCTCTGCTTTGTCCTCCTTAGATATGACGGGAATTCCCTGCTGAGCAGCATTGAGTGCTATGACCCCATCATCGACAGCTGGGAAGTCGTGACGTCCATGGGAACCCAGCGCTGCGACGCTGGTGTGTGTGTCCTCCGAGAGAAGTGACCGCTGTTGGCGCTCCAGCCAGAGCCAGTGACTGGCCCGAGGGACAGTTGCGGAGAGTCAAGGATCCTTTCCAGAATGTCTGGTTCTCACTGTGTGAACAGGGTGGCTGCAGGCACCGGTGCCCTGATGGTTGTGCTTATTTGACACACACTCCCCCTCGTGCTGGTAGTGGACCCTCAGCAGGCGGGTGACAGATGGTCAAGGGAAGACCGTGCACAGTGTGTGGCTGTGAGACCAGATCACCTGACCCTCTGGTCTGGGGAGCGCTTTCTTGTCGCTTCTAACTTACCGTGTGCTTGGGAGAATATATATATGTTGTGCCTCGGATATTGCAGAGTTGAGGTGCCTGTGGCCACCTAGACGTGGACAATATCCAGCCTGGGTGATGGGAAGGATACAGGCTTTCTTCCTCCAGAAGCAAGTATCTTTGTAACCTACAGGTAGCTAGGGACAACAGAGTTCCACCCTGGAGGGAAGCAAAGGAGAGAACCCTGGCCAGACTGGGGGCCCCAGGAGAGAGGGATCTGACACGCACTCAGCGCAGCAGGATTGCTGGTTCAGAACTGAGTCAGACAGGGAAGTCAGCGGAGCTCAGTGGACTGGGTGTGAGCCCAGGACACCGCTGCGGAAGAACCGGGAAGCCTGACAAGGACGGATGTTTTAGAAGGACCTTTTGCTTGCCGGGGTCTCTGTAGAGTGTTGTGCATCTCAGCACTGGAAACAGTAACAGAGTGAACCCTTGTTGGGCTGAGAGGAGCTGGCGTCGACGTGGGAGTTTGGTGCACCTGGGGACCACTAGAGGTACCTGTGCTTTCACAGTCTTAGTCCCTGCCGGGCGCACCTGGCCACGCAGCGTTTGTCTCGAATGGGTGGAGTAGGCCCTGCCAGGCTCTGACACTTCCACACTATTTATTTGGGGAGGGGCAGTAGCCTCGTTGTCCAGCAGCCGATCACTGCCCCGTTCTCTTAAGGGCGCGCTTCTCCCAGGGAGTGGACTTTACTGCTGTGCTTGGTACATTCACCTCTCCCTAGAGTGGACTTTATTCATCCCGGGACAAGGACAAGTTCCTTTCTTCGTTTCGGTACCTCTGTGGTCACCATCTCAGAGCCGCCTTCCAAGGCTCGTCTGCGTCGTGCGGTGAAATTCTTGCTTTATGTATTGTGAGTGTGGGAACGTGAAAACCTAAGCGAGGGAGCCCTTGCCCTCCGCTTTGCAGCTCCATTTCCCCCCTCTTTTCCTGAGCTGTATTGCCCTACAGAGTTTATTTCCTTTGTATTTTTTTAAGAAAACATTAAAAAGCAACTGTGTCAAATGACTTCAGAGAGTACATGGCTTATCAGCTGTGCCTTCAGCAGGCATTTTGGAGGACCGGGTGTAGGGGTCAGCTGCAGGTCCCAACTCAGCGTGTTCACCTGGTGTGTTTGCCACCAGCTCTGCTAGACCCAGGTAAGAGGTAGCCACTGCCCCGGCAGGAGGTCCTCACCACGTTTATCTGGATGTGCCGAATTCACTGGCTGCTCTCGCACCTGAAATGGACTGGGAAACCAAAGGGAGCAAAGACGCCATCTTGAGCTCGTTTAGTGCCCACTGAACGGCATGGTTTCCATCGGCCTAGTCGTCTTTCTGTGCCTCGATTTATGGCGTGTGACACGCAGCTGTACGGGACAGGCCCACAGAATCGCAGAACTGATGTTCCCAGGGCGGACAGGAGGAAGGGCCCCAGAGGCGGTGATTTTCCCGGAAGAGGCCACCGGCCTCGCCTGCCCCGAGAACCAGTGCCTGCACAGTGAGGCTCACTCCGTCTCAAGAGGAGGGCCAGGGCCAGGCAGCTGGAGGGGGAGGCAGTGAAGGGGAGCTGGGAGGCTGACGACGAGTTTCAGGCCACGCTGAGAGGTGGTTCATAAACTGCAGCCGCAGCAGCAAAGTCAGCATAGAAAGCTCACTGCTGCTGTCCACTCTTCCCTCTTGCTCACCTTCGTGTGCGTGTGCATGCGCACACACGCGTGCACACACACACACCCCTGGTTTGGTGCTTCCTCCTGTTTTCCCAGCTCCGTAACAGGCAACCAGCCACTTAGTTACCTAACCTAGGAAAGCTGTCACTGTCTCGTGTCATCCGTGTGACAGTACAGACATCCAGTAAGTTTCAGAGTTCCACTGGTTTCCTCTCTAATTGTTCCGGTCCCTTGGTACGCCTGCCTTCCCTCTGCTGGAGCCTGTATCTGTCGGCTGGACTCACGAGAGCCTCCCATGCCTAACCTCCACCCTTCTCCCCTCTTGCACTCTAACCTCCATCTTGTCATCAGTTACCCTCCTCAAGCAAATAGGACCATCGTGGTACTGAACAGGCAGCAGGGGCAGGCACAGTGGGTTAAGCCACACCCCTTATCGGTGCCTGGAATTAATTCCTGCCTCTGCTTCTGCTAACGTGCACCCTGGGAGCCAGCAGGTGATGGCTCAGTACTTGGGTTCCTGCCATGCACATGGGAGACCTGCATGGAGACCCAGGCAGCTGCCTTTGACCTGGCTGAGCCCTGGCTCTGAAGCCATATTCACCGTGGGTATGTGGGGAGTGAATCAGTGGATGGAAGATATTCTCATTCACTGTCACTTTGCCTTTCAAATAAACTTTTTAAAAAAGATTCTTTAGGGGCAGGTGGCATCATGACACAGCAAGCTAAGCTGCCACCTGGCATGCCAGCATCCCAGATTAGAGCACCAATTTGAGCGCTGGTTTCCAAATCAAGTCCCTGCTACTGTGCCTGGAAAAGCGGCGGAGGGCGGCCTGAGTGCCTGCGGCCCAGCCGTGCACAGAGGAGACCTGAGTGCAGTGCTGGGCCCCTGTATTGCTCTGGACCAGCCCTGGCTGTTGTGGACGTTTGGGGAGTGCAGCAGCAGATGGAAGATAACCGTATTTCTTTCTCTGCTGTGTAGTATTCTCCCCTTCGAATACTTAAACATTCTTTTAGAAAAGTGCAGATTTTCAATAAAAATGAACAGTTACTCTTAGCCCAAAATCCCATGGATCTTCACATTATACAGTTCAAATTAGCAAACGTTGGCCCCATGGCGAGCTAAGCCCTTTCCACCTTTCTGGTCTTCACTCCTCCTGTACTTCCCCTTCGTTCATGCATAGACTGCGCTCAGAGACGTCGCTTTCCTGACAGTCCTAGCCTTTTAAACCCCTGCCCGATGCCGCCTAGGTAAAGCGCTTCTTAATTCCGCAGACAGAATTACTCGCTCATTGGTTCTCTCTCACGTGCCGTTGGGCTGTGTTCTCGGATACAAAGTGCCAACCCTATCCTCCGTGCTTAGCGGGCTGCTAGCCCTGGGATTAACGAAGAGGGTAGAGGAGAAACATGCAAACGGGGGTGACGGGTCCATCAGACGTGGATCGCATGACAGTTTCCCCTCGTAGTCGGCTTCCTCTGCCCCTTTGAGGAAACCCCCGGCGTGTTGCTGTACAAGCCGGAGCGCTGCAGACTGACCCGATGGAGCGAGAAAGCGTGCTGTCCTAACGTGACAGCACCTAGGGCCGTGCACCTTCAGACCTCGGGCACTGGGGACACGAGTGCCCACCTCACGGAAGAGGGGTGATGACTCGGCAAGTTCCTGACCACTTCAGCTCTGCGGCGTAGTAAGCGGCCACTATGACCGCAACAGACGCCAATCAAAACCCCCACGCCATGCTTCCCGTCCCGGAAAGGTACACGCCCCTCCAGGGTTTGCTAACGCGGCTAAAACCTGCTGTTGACAGTGTCCCCATTCACTCCTGGGACCCAAAGAACTCAAGAGTGAAGGGCATCCCGAGTGCTCTCTAGGTCTTAATGTTAAGGGAAGCCCCAAGATCAGCTGGGCAGGGAGGGAGATTTGTCGCTGACACCAGGAAGTGATCCTGTCACAAAGCCAAGCCGACACTCGGCCACTCGGGCCCGACCGTGAATGAGCGCGCTTGCGCAGTGGCGTCCGGGGCGGCGCAGGGGGCGTGGCCGTCCGCTCCTCGCCCCGCCTCTACCCAGGCGCGCCCGCGCAGTCCGGGAAAGCGAGCGGAGACAGCGCCTGCGCAATCGTGGCGGAGGAGGCTGTGGCGGCAGCGGCAATGGAACCCGCGGAGCAGCTGAGCGAGTTAGTGTCAGCCGAGGGCCGAAACCGGAAGGCGGTGCTGTGCCAGCGTTGCGGCTCCCGGGTGCTGCAGCCAGGAACCGCTCTCTTCTCCCGCCGACAGGTAGGGAGGCGCGTTAGAGGCGCCGACGCCCGCACCCTTTCCCACAGGGGCCGAAGCCGCCGGCGGCTTAGTCCTGCCTCCTCGACTTCCGGAGACCGCGCCCCTCCTCGCGCGGCCCTTAGGCCCCGCCCCCAGGCTCGAGGCCCCGCCTCTCGCAGAGGCTCCGCCCCTGGGTTGCCGCCGCGCGCTGGCTGCAGAGCACGCGTTCCTGTTCGCTGCTCCCTGCCCAGCGGTGGCCATCGCAGCCCTCCGTCCGAGCCAAGCTTGACCCCGGGTCTGCTGCCCCGGCCCGGCCCTGGTGCGCGGCCCGCTGCAGCCGCGACGGTGCGATGCGGTTCCATCCCGCGTCAGCGCCACCCGCCGGACCTTACCGCCCGGTCCCCTTCCTGACCGGCGCCTGCCGGCTCCGCAGCGGCCCGAGAAAGTGACGGAGCCGCCGCTGCGGCCGAACGCCTTCCACGGCCAGGAGCAAGCGCGTCCCCGCGGGCCCTGCGTCCGTGGGGTGCGGGGCTGCCGTCCTGGCGCGTCCCCGCGGGCCCTGCGTCCGTGTTGCCGGCTGGCGTCCTGGCGCGTCCGTGGGGTACGGGACTGGCGTCCTGGCACGCCCCGCGAACCCTGCGTCCGTGGGGTGCGAGGCTGCCAAACTGGAAGTGGGTCTCAAAGACGGACTTGTTTTTCATTCCACCACCATCACCCCAAGGGAGGAGAATGGGAAAAAATAACTAAGGTAGATTTTTTTATTGAAAACCAGTATAGTCGCAGGAAAGTGCAAAGTGTAGTCTAAGTGAGCCACGTGCATGTCCTGCCCCGTAGAATGATCTTTTGTGAGATCTGTTTATTTGAAAGACAGGGTGATCTTCCATCCGCTGGTTCACTCCCCAGACGGCCTCCATGGGCGGGGCTGGGCCGGGCCCAAGCCAGAAGCCTGGAACTCCGTCTGGGTCTCCCACGTGGGGGGCAGGGCCCGAGCCCTCGAGTGGTCACCTGCTGCGGCCTCCCAGGACAGTCACTGCCCTTAGGCTGTCAGTCCAGTTTGAAAATTATTTTTGAAATTGTGCTTTCGGCCGGATTGCCAGACTAGCACACTGAGCCCCTGGAGATGATGGGAGGCACAGAAGAGGGGGCCAGGTGAGGAGCGAGGCAGTGGCACCCGGGGCAGCCGTGCGTGTCCCCTGCCCCTGTGGGGACAAAGCTGCTGTGTGTGACAGAGGCTTTCTCCTGTAGCTGGAGGGCGGGGCCGGGATCCTGGGCTGACTCTCCACATTCCGGACAGAGATTTTCCTCTGTATTCCTTAGGAATGTGATGAACTAGATCAACGCTAGGGGCCTGCACTTGTTCTCTCGACAGATATTTTAATTTCTGCCAATGGGTTCGGACCCAGGGTCGTTCTTACTTATTTACTTATTAGATTTATTCACTTATTTGAAAAACGGAGTTACAGAGGCAGAGAGAGAGGTCTTCCATCTGCTGGTTCACTCCCCAAATGGCCACAATGGCTGGAGCTGGGCAGATCTGAAGCCAGGAGCTTCTTCCAGGTCTCCCACGCAGTGCAGGGGCCCAAGGACTAAGGCCATCTTCTGCTGCTTTTCCAGTCCATAGCAGAGAGCTGGATTAGAAGTGGAGCAGCTGGGACAAGCACTGGCGCCCATATGGGATGCCGGCACCGCAGGTGGCAGCTTTACCTGCTTCACCACAGCGCCAGCCCTGACCCAGGTTCTAGTCTGAGCCCTGGTGATGCGGGAATGAGCCAGGCACGGCAGCTCCCTGCCTCCGGAAGCTGAGGTTCCAGTGGAGGGAGACACCTGGCAGGGAAGCCAGTTCACTGAGGTCATTTCAGACAATAGGACAACGTCAGGGGCTGCGTGAAGAACCTGTTGGGGGGAGCACTGTGTGCGTTCCCCTGATTGGGGTGCTGGTTTCAGCAGTATACACGTGAGCCACCAGGGACCAAGCTGCACAGCTTAAACAGCAGGAAAGCCCTTTAGGGGGTGGGGTGCGGTGTGAAAAGCATAACATGCATTTGGGCCGAATGCCAAGGAGCTGGCCTGGAGTTCCCGGCTGCTGGTGTTGGCCTGGCTCAGCCCCGGCTGTTACAGCTGTTTGGGGAGTGAGCCAGCAGATGGAAGATCTCTTTCTGAAGGCAAAGTGGACTTGTGCTGATGGAGGAAGAAGAGAAGGTGGTGTGGTTGATGCATAATGGGTCGGGAGACACCAGAACCAGTGAGGGCCTTGTAGGCATGGTAAGGGCAGCCAGGAGCCACTCACCCTCAGGGTTTGTAACTTAGTAAGAGGGTCCCTCTCCCCGCCCCCTTGCAGATGGCCACTAGGGGGCAGCGCAGCACGTGAGGGGCCAGCCCAGCTCTGTTCTCCTTCTCTGCCTGCAGCTCTTCCTGCCTTCCATGAGAAAGAAGCCGGCGCTGGCCGACGGCAGCAGCCCTGAGGGCGACCTCCTCCAGGAGCACTGGCTGGTCGAGGACATGTTCATCTTTGAGAACGTGGGCTTCACCAAGGACGTGGGCAACATCAAGTTTCTGGTCTGCGCAGACTGTGAAATTGGACCGATTGGCTGGCACTGCCTAGATGACAAGAACAGCTTCTACGTGGCCTTGGAACGGGTTTCCCATGAGTGACGCGGGGCGGGGACTCAGCTCCACCCCGGCTCCCCACAAGAACTGGCGGTTGACCTGTGCGGTGTCTGCCGCCTTCTGGGTACTGATGTAGCTGCGTGAGCACGTCAAGGGGTCCCCGCTTCCCCGAGGCCTCAGGGGCATGCCTCCTGCTTCCGGTCCCCTCCCCCGCCCGTCCTGACGCTGTCCCGCCCCCTGCTTTCTCCTCGGCTCTGCTTTACCCAAGGCTGCCTGTCTGCTTGCTTCAACCCGGGCGCGTGACAGAAGGTGCGCAGGGGCCGGGGGTCGCAGCTCCACCTTTCTCCGGCTCATTCAGGAAGCCCCGCCCACACGGGCCCCAGAGCGACTTTGTCGGATGCCTGACTGTGTCGCCAGGGTAGCTCTCCCGGGCATTCACAGACTTGTGCATTGAAGCCTCTGACTGGAACACAGCAGGCAGACATGGCCGTCTTCCCTTCAGCTCTTGGGCTTCTCTGCGGAATCAGCGGTGGGGGTGGGGGTGGAGGACTTGAAAGGAGCGGGCCTGTGCCGCGGACTCGCGACGCCGTGGGCTGTGTCATCCGCAGAGGCGCCGCCCTTGTGCGCTCCTCATTTACCGAGCCCACGGGGCACCGTGCTCAGACTTTGAGTACCCGCTGACTGTGCCGGCCCAGGATCCGCGCTCGCCGTCAGCCTGGCCCTGCTGGCGCAGCTGTGGGGCTCCTCCCTTCACCCCAGAGCTGCCTCTGGGCTCCTCGCGGGAGGCAGAGCCTGGACAGGGGGCAGCCAGCCCACTCCCCTGGAGCCGGAGTGAGCGGAGATGCCCGTTCCAGCAGCCGCAGAGGAGCGGCCCCTCGAGGCACAGACCCAAGCCGCAAAACCCAGTCGGTGCTTCCTGTGCCCCCGCCTCACAAGCTGAGCGTTTCTTAAGTGTAGGCTTTAGCTTTTCTTTTATAGTCGCAGAAGTGGCACCGGTTCATTGGGTGAAATTAGAATCGGTGTCCAGTTTCGCCTGCAGTCCTGCCACGCCGCGGCGGCCGCGTCCTTCCCCGGGCTTTTCTCTGTGTGCGTGTACAGGAACGTGTCCAGTGTTTCTGAAAGCAGACAGAAACCAGGCTGTAGTCTTCTGTAACTTATTTATGACAGCAGAGGGTGGCTCTCTCCCCATGTCAGCAGGCAGACGCCGTGTACCCCAGCGCTGCTGGTGTTCCCGTGAGCTCTGTCATTGTGTAAACAACCCGCCAGCTTGATTTCGCGTGTGGCGTTGTAGCTGGATCTGCGCCCGCCCTGGGCTGCTCCCCACGTGTGCGTGTGGTGCGAGGTGGAGCCGCAGGGCTCCCTGTTGATGGCTGCGCCCTGGCTGGCACGCGGTCCTCGGCGGGACTGCGCCCACCTCCAGCAGTGTCGATGAGCTCTAGTTTCTCTGAACCCCTTACCAACATGGGGTATTTATTATCCTTAGAAAAAATACTTGGCCACTTTACCCAGAGGGAAGAAATAGTAACTCATTATTTTAATTTGCATTTTTTTTCTTTCTAATGAAGTTTTATATACACTTAATCGGTTTGTATTTCCTTTTTTGAGAATTGCCAAACATTGTTGCCTCAGGACCCAAAAGCACCGAGTGGCTCTTCTGCCGCTTTGGTGGGATTTGAGGGAAATAAAGGTGTTGCAGCGGCGGAGAATCGCTCTGCGCGTCTTTGGGAAGAAAGCGGAGCCCTGGGGTCTGGGTCTGGGCTAGGAGCGGTGACACAGTGCGCACTGGAGGACAGTGTCAGCTCTTCACTCTTCCCCATGCAGGCCCTCGGCGATGTGCGTGCGTTTGCTCCCTGTGCCACGGCGGGCACGGACCCCCGGGCTTGGTGCTCTGAGGATGGAAACCTGCAGTTGCTATCACGGAGAGCAACTTGTCGCTCCCCCTCTTCGTGGAGGAACGACACAGGACCCTGCGCTGTTCTTTCGTCTGCTCGGCCCTCCCCGGGTTTGCTGCTGGTTCTTCCCGGGTTGGCTACTATCCCTTCCACCTCCGTGGAAGGGCAGTTCCCCCTGGCCACATTCCCCACTTCCGCAGGGGAGCGGCACACCGCCGGCCGGCTTTCTTCGGGGGCTGCACAGGTGTTCCTTCAGCTAGATGTTCCCCATAGATGTTCCTGGTGCATGCCGTCTCTCTCCTCCTTTATAGTCCTCTTCCGCCAATCCCAACTCGGCTGCCCACACGCCAAGTACGCTGCTCTCCAATCAGGAGCAAGTCCTACAGCTCAGTCAATCAAGTTGGCGAGAGGCAGCTGCAAAGAAGTTGTTGCTCCCTTCTCAGCGCCATATTGTGGGAGAGCAGATGCATAGAATGAGTCTTAATTCCAGTAACTTAGTCTAGTCCGAGTTGCTCCCCACAGACAACTGATTTTAGCCAAGGCCTAACTCTGCAAAACTGACTTGGTTTAACAAAAGCAAAGGTGGCCAGGGGTGTGCAGACGTCTCTCATATCATGAGCACATTATGTGTGAGGCTGCTCCCAGAAATGGGGGGGTGGGTAATTGGCACTGACCATCCCACTGAGGACAGAGAGAAAGGCTGGACAAAATATGTTAAAAATCTGTTTGGGAGGCCAGGGCCACGGCTCACTAGGCTAATCCTCCGCCTGCGGTGCTGGCCACCCAGGTTCTAGTCCCAGTTGGGGTGCTGGTTCTGTCCCGGTTGCTCCTCTTCCAGTCCAGCTCTCTGCTGTGGCCTGGGAAGGCAGTGGAGGATGGCCCAAGTGCTTGGGCCCTACACCCACATGGGAGACCAGGAGAAGCACCTGGCTCCTGGCTTTGGATTGGCGCAGCGTGCCGGCCGTGGCAGCCATTTGGGGGGTGAACCAATGGAAGGAAGACCTTTCTCTCTCTCTCTCTCTGTCTAACTCTGCCTCTCAAAAAAAAAAAAAATCTGTTTGGTGCCTGGTGTTGTTGGGGCATAGTAGGTAAAGTCACTGCTGACAACACTGGCATCCCGTTTGGGTGCTGGTTCTAGTCCTGGCTGCTCCACTTCCAATCCAGCTCCCTGCTAATGGCCTGGGAAAGCAGTGGAAGATGCCCAAGCATTTAGGTTCTTACTACCAGCGTGGGAGACCCAGATGAAGCTCCTGGCTCCTGGCTTCAGCCTAGCTCGGCCCTAGCTGTTGCAGCCACTTGGGAAGTGAGCCAGCAATAGAAGATCTCTCTCTCTCTCCCCTTCTATGTAACTCTGCCTTTCAAATAAATAAGTAAATCTTTAAAATACAAAGATCTGTTTGAAGGCATCAGAAAACTGATGTGATATTAGGGATTCCTGGGCCAGGATCCTGAAGAGATGGAGGTCCTGGGAGGTGGGCCTGGTGTTGGGGCCCTGTGCTTCTGGGGGCACTTGCAGCCAGGGTTCAGGGCCTCAGGAGTGACTTAGCAGCCTCCCAGGTGGGCAGAATGTCAGGTCAAAGGTTAGCCCTGACCTTGGGCTGCAGCCCTTGGTCCTTTGCACCCCAGGGACAGGGTGGCTGAGAAGGTGGAAGTAGGTTCTTGCAGGGAACTACAGCTCAGCTTCCCGTTACCTCACTCGCTGAGGTCAGATTAAGGGGACCCCAGAGCGGTAGCTGCCCCAAACCCTTGGCATAAGGAAGCATAAAGCCTTTCTAGAGGAAAATATTGCTGCAGACCACTTTGGTAATATTATATCCAACATGCGGTGAAATGTAACTAGGTGTTACTTACTGTACACCTGTATCAAATTATGCTCCTCCAGGAGTTCAATGGTGTATCTATTTAAGACAACCTAGTACCTCCCTTAAAATTTGTAAAAATGTAACCACACCTATGAGACAGGGTAATAAGAAAACTAGCAGGGCTACCTGTGGTGTATTAGATTAAGCCTCCGCCTGCAGCACCAGCATCCCATATAGGTGCCCGTTTGAGTCCTGGCTGCTCCACTTCTGATCCAGCTCCCTGCTAATGGCCTGGGAAAGCAGCAGATCATGGCCCAAGTCCTTGGGTCCCTGCACCCATGTGGGAGACCCAGAGAAAGCTCCTGGTTCCTGGCTTTGAATCAACCCAGCTCTGGCCCTTGAGGCCATTTGAGGAGTGAACCAGCAGATAGAAGACCTCTCTTTCTGCCTCTGTCTTTCAAATAAGTAAATAAACCTAAAACAAACAAACAAAACTAGTAAAACACACAATAGAGATATCAGAGTTTTCAAACACAGGTTTCAGAATAACTGCTTACTCTGCTCAAGGAGAGAGGTAAGTTTGGGAATTACAGCAGATACCTAGACATAAAGAAACAGCGACTTCTCAGGCCAGCATTGTGGCATGGCAGGTTGAGCTGCCACTTGCAGTGAGACCGACATGGAGTTCTGAGTTCCTGGATTCCGTCTGGCTGGGCCCCAGCTGTTGTGGTTTTCTGGGCAGTGAACCTGCATGTGGGCCATTCATTCTGTCTCTCTCTAATAAATCCTTGTTTGTTTTTTTTTTTTTTTAAAGATTTATTTTATTTTTGAAAGACGGAGACTGAGAGGTCTTCCATCCACCGGTTCACTCCCCAGATGGCCACAACAGCTGGAGCTGTGCTGATCCGAAGCCAGGTGCCAGGAACTTCTTCCAGGTCTCCCATGTGGGTGCAGTGGCCCAAGGACTTGAGCCATCTTCTACTGCTTTCCCAGGCCATAGCAGAGAGCTGGGTCAGAAGAGAAGCAGCCTGGTCTCGAACCAGTGCCCATATGGGATGTTGGCGCCTCAGGCCAGGGCGTTAACCCACTTTGCCACAGCGCTGGCCCCTAATAAATCCCTTAAAAAAAAAAAAAAACTTTAAAAAATAGTGAATTCTAGAGTTTAGAAAAACCCCATAACCAAAATGAGTTCCGTGGAAGGTTGTAACAGCGGAGGAGCCGCAGGTGAGCAGTAGAGAACCAGGAGCCAGCTGAGGTGGCAGCCTGAAACCTTGGACAACACTGCCGAGAGAGGTTAAGAGGAAACGATCTCAGGCAGAGAACTGCTGCCCGTGGGCCAAACCCAGTCAGCCAGCACCTGCTTAATCAGGCTCAGGAGCCTGCGGCTAGGAACGTTTTACACTTTTTAATGCTGATAGACGCATCTATATATTTTCAATTCTATCAAACCCCACAAAGCCTAAAGTACCTGCTATTGAGAACTTTTTTTTGGAAAGTGAGTGATCACCCATTCCCTGGTTCACTCCCCGCAAATGCCTGCAACGCCAAGCAGGGACCCCACAACTCAATCCGGGTCTCCCTCGTGGCTGGCAGAGAGGGACCGGAGCCATCACCTGCTGCCTCCCAGGGTCTGCACTAGCAGGAAGCAGGACTCAGTAGCAGTGCTGGCACTGAAACCCAGGGACTGTGATGTGGGATGCAGGTGCCTTAACCAGCGTCTCTAACCACCAGGCCAAACACCCCCGCCCCCTTGGGGAGTGGTCATGTAATAAACTGAGCTGTACATCTGTGCATTTTTCTGAATCATTTTTACAATAAAAGTTTTCTAACAGTCCTAGGCAAAGCCCACTTTCCTGAACATATGTTCTTCAAAGTCAGATGACATTTTACTCCCAGTATCTCCTAAACCTGTGCACATTTAAAATTTAACCATGACCCTAAGGATGAAAACGGAGTTAGAAGTTAAAATGAGGGGCTGATGCTGTGGCGTAGCAGGTAAAGCTGCTACCTGCAGTGCCGGCATCCCATATGGGCACCAGTTCGAGTCCCAGCTGCTCTACTTCCCAGCCAGCTCTCTGCTATGGCCTATGGCCTGGGAAAGCAGTAGAAGATGGTCCAAGTGACGGCCCCTGCATCTGCGTGGGAGACCTGGAAGAAGCTCCTGGCTCCTGGCTTTCATTGCAGCCATTTAGGGAGTGAACCAGTGGATGGAAGACCTGTCTCTCTCTCTGCCTCTGTGCCTTTCAAATAAATAATAAATTCCTAAAAAAAATTTATTTCTGAAGCAGAAATAGTGAGTTAAAACTTAGAATAGGAATTTACATGTGTTTTAATGCTGTTTGACAAAGACAACGAACACAGATGCACAAGGTCTGCAAAGGGGACACCATGAGGCCCCGACGGGGCACTAGTCTTTGGAGGACGAGGGAACACAGCTGCTGACTGCATCAGTGCCGACCTTCCCGTTGTGACCACGAGTTCCTGGTGTTTGGGAAATTAAATTCCTGGAATTCAGAGGCAAGTGTCAGAAGTGTCCCCAGATGTCCTGGAAGACCACTGAAACTTGGGCTCCCTTTGGCCATGGAAACAAGGTTAGGTATGAGGAGTGTAAACTGCACCCAAAGCACAGCAACAGTGTTACAGGTGAATACTGTGTACCCAAGGCACAGTAACAGTGTTCCATGTGCATAGTGTGTAAACTGTGTACCCAAGGCACAGTAGCAATGTTCCATGTGCATAGTGTGTAAACTGTGTAGCCATGGGCTGGTGCTGTGGCATAGCAGCATCCCAGATGGGCGCCAGCTCAAGTCCCGGATGCTCCATTTCAGATCTAGCTCCCTACTGATGCACCTGGGAAAACAGTAGGACATGGTCCAAGTCCTTGGGC